TCTCATGGCTAAAAAGTACAAGTTTGACAAAGCTCAGAGTTCTGGGGGAGATCTGGGGTTGAAAAGAAGCATGATGAGTGAGAGAAGCGTTCACTGGAAGAGACTCTGGCAAATGCAGCTTTACCCTGTCTCTGAGAATGAGAGCCAAGAGATGAAGACCCAGCTGTGAAATCACTGAGAGGTACACCAGTGATGATGGAACCTGAGTCCACTTTCAAATGGGTTCTCTCCTCTCTCTAAAGCAAGGTGTTATAGAAGTAACTAGATGAAATGAACAATCATGCCTTGTTTAGCTGTGACTGTCAGGACATTCACCCTCCTGGAAGTGTTTATAGGAAAAGTGAGCATGGATGAATAAAGCTCAGTAGGGATGAGTAACACCCACCTGTTTGTACATGACACTCTTCAGAGACACAGAAGCAAGAGGGCAAGAGCACGAGGTCCCACCTTGGGCCTTTGCCCGACTGTGATGCCTGACTCTTTGAAGATCTGCTCACCTCTTTCTCTATACTGAAGGCCCACCTGTCCTGCCTCTGTTTACAGCCTAAAAACATGACGACCAATGGACACATACGCACAAACTCAAAGGAGCTAATGGGTGAATGACCCAAGATGGAGGTGTCTTAAAAAGTTACAGCATAGGGACACCTGGGTGGCTCAGTCGTTAAGCGTCTGCCTTCTGCTCAGGTCATGATCCCAGGGTCCTGGGATCGAGCCCCGCGTCGGGCTCCCTGCTCAGCGGGAAGCCTGCTTCTCCCTCTCCCACTCCCCCTGCTGTGTTCCCTCCTTTGCTGTCTCTCTGTCAAATAAATAAAATTAAAAAAAAAAAAAAAGAAGGTATAGCATAAAGTTGATATAACAAAATTTATTTTGGGCTATAGAAGGTATGTTTTTGAAACAACTGGATTCACAGTGCTTCACCTCTCTATTATCATATTATATTATGATTTAGTAAAAAGCACCTTTCAAACCCAATGATTAGTCAGATATTTTCAAGATTTTTGACTCCTGGAGAATAAATTATTCTTCAAAATGTTGGAAAATGTCAAAAAAATAAAAAGTGTGTACGTGAAACGTATGCCCACAGATTCTAAAGTCACTGCTACGCCGTGCCCTGCTCTACAGGCTTTTACAGGTGAATATACGAAACCATCCTCGTCTTTCTGACCTTGTGCTCTCTGAAAGAAATAAAACAAGTATCTTTAAAAAAAAATCTGTAATCTGGAATTTTCTCTATTTTACATTGACCATCCCACTCATGGATTAACTTGGATCAATGAGTCTTAAATATTTTAACAAGGTCAGATTTTTACTCTCAATCAACAGGAAAGAGCATGAAAGCAAAATCAGCTTTGTTGGTTGGTTGGTTGGTTATGTATGTATGTATATATGTATTCTTGATTTATTTATTTTGTTTGGCCGAACTCTTCACCTCTCATAGCATGAAGGGAGATTATTATTATCATTCCTGTCTGAATTATAACTAATCAGAATTAATGAAATTCAAGTTCACTATTAGATTTAAGATATTATTACTAGATAATATATACTTATTAGAAATAATTAACAGGACACAAATATTTCTAAAGCTATTATTAAAATGGAAATAATTAGGCTTCTCCAACTCTTGATTACCTTTCCCTTTTTCTTAAAAAATAAATAAATAAAACCCTTGCTTTGCTTAGGCCGGTGACAAGAATGTTAATTTTAATTAATCCTTACAATTAAGTATTAAAGATATCTCTTGCCATCTCATGAGTCCCTAGGAAATAAATCCATGTATTTCTGGCTCCATAATTTACCAGACTGGAGTTACTCAATTATTTGGAACACATATATATGCTGATTTTAGGAATTTATTAAAAGGAAAAAAACTTTCCAGGAATAGCTTGGTGTTATAATTTTCTCATTAAGTGAAGATCTTATGCAGGAAACCCCTTTGTTTCTACTCTTTTAAAACCCTTCTTAGTAGGTTTCCACTCTTTCCTATCTACCTGAGGCCATACAAGTAAGCATAGCTGAATCTTTCCTCTAAAATTGGGCATGCTATTGTCTCTGATAACTTTATCTTGTGTAGGTACAAAGATGCAGAAGTTATACAAAACTGAGCTGACTGGATATGACTTCTGAGCATTAAAACAAAAAAATTTACAAAACCAAAGAAGCCAACCATAGAACACACAAAAATCTCCAATATTTAGCCTGTGCATATGTGGGACTGTTGAATAACAGGGGAAATGCAGGCTAACTGGGTATTCTAATTAACTGACATTCTGCTGTTTTAGTGATACTGAAAATGTACTCATTCATTCATTCAACAAGTATTTACAGAATTCCCAGGATTTTCCCAGGCATTTGAGATACACCAGTGGGCAGACAAAAAAAACCCTCCTACCCTCATGGAGCTTACATTCTAGCAGGGGAGAAGCGGAGGAGGGTGAGGGGAATCAGAGCTTAGAGGAAGAGGAATTACAGTTTTAAACAGGGTGGTCAGGGAAGGCCTTATTGAAAAGATGACATTTGAGCAAAGGAAGGACAGAGATGAGATAAATCAGGTGGTCACCGGGGAGGACACAGGAGGCAGAAGGGACAGCAAAAGCAAAGGGCTAGGGTGGAGTGATACCTAGCCAGAGGAGCCAAAGTAGGAAGATGGAGGGTGGGTCAGGGTGGTAGGGACTGGGGTGTGTGTGTGTGTGTGTGTGTGTGTGAGAGAGAGAGAGAGAGAGAGAGAGAGAAAGTATGTACTAGAGGGTACTGTGACTGTTACCCTCCCTTGACCTTGATTCCCCGTCAAGAGCGGAAAATGCCACTAGGCTGAAACACCATGGTGGTGCAGCCACACATCAAAACAAGGATGAGATCATTAGAGTAGAGACGGTTTTAAAAAGGTAACCACTTCTCGGCCTTTTGGCTAAGATCAAGTGTAAAAAGCAAAGGTAACATTTTGCTTTACAATCGCTGATCTGATTTCCAAGTGCTTTGACCATCCAGGTCTCTGAGATAAGACAATGTAGTTGACTCCACCTTACGGCTGGTCTAACAGAGTGAACTTCTTAGAGCCAGCCTCCAAAATAACCCTTCTTGTTCCTGGCAGCCAGACCAGTTTTCAGGGAATCCTGATACATCACAGGAGTTTTAATTTTCAAAGCTTTCATGTAACTATGTTAAGTTAAACTTCTTGTACTCATTTAAAAAAACTAGGTTTAATCATAAATGAACGAAGTGTGGGTGCCTGTCTGGGAAGTGAATAATTACCAGGTACATACACAAAATAACGGGATTCATTTGGATAGTCTAATTATGCATAAGAAACAGATTTTTCAGAAAGGCACTCTTCTTTGCTAAATGACTGTCAATATGAAAATACACAGCATTAGTTATTTCAGCTCAAGAATGTCAAGAACCGAATAATCAAGCATTGGGTTACAAAGTTTAAAAGTTAATAAAGCGGTACCGAGTATTTGTATTAGTGCTTTAAGTAGCTAAATTAAACTGAAATGTGTCTCTTAAGCAGTCATTGAACAAGCAAGACGAGAAATAAATTGAGCTTCACTTAGGCCTTTATGGCATCTAACAACTGTGTCTGTCAACACACGGATCCTTTTCACTGTCAATTCAACACACATTTTGCAGACCTTGGGCCTGCAATTATTTCATTTCCTTTCTTGGAAATGTAATTTCCACTTACTTTTGGAGAATAAAAGACAGACAAAAGGAGGAAGGAGTTGCAGTATTTTCTGATTAAGATTATCTGTATAAAATGGTAAAGGGAAAAAAATCTATACGCGCACACTGAAGCATTTCTCAACAACTAACCTGTCTCAGCCAAATTGCTTTTGTGTCTGGATATTGGTTCAGATGTAGCCAGACTGTTGATGTCAAATTAGGTGTTAAACAAATTTAATAGGAAAGATGAAGAATGAATATAGATCATCTTTCTGTTAGAATTGTTCAAATGACTCCAGTCAAAAGAAAGGAAACGCATGACCACAGGGGAAGTGTGCTTTTAATTAAACACAATGAAATGAGATAAAACTGTAAATCAGCAAAGAAGGCCATTCATTCCAAAAGAGGGGGAAAAAAAGTTAATAGGGCCAGGGAGAGAAATGCAAGAGCGGAAGAAAATACCAGTTGGCAAAAAGAGATCTAAATTGAATTGCAACTTCGTTTGTCCAGGCTTCACCTTTTAAACTAAAACAGAGCTACAAAAAAAAAGGGTTCTTTCTCTCCTGAGAGAACAGGAAGTCAGAGGTTTTAATTAACCATGATTACAATATTCAGCTGATCTGATTTGTCTCACCTCTTCCTTTTCTTCAAGCGGCAAACCAGCTGATACCCTGGCAAGAGAACTTCAGTAAAACTAATTTCAAAAAGAGCTTGCCTCTGTTATAAAACAAATTGACCCTCCACCAGATCTGTCTGAAACACATTCAACAGCAAGATTAACTCTTGGACAAAGTGCCACTCTCCCAAAGCAAGTCTTCGGCGAGAACTCTTTTTAAGTAGCATCTCTTCACTCTCAGGAGAGAGCAGTATTAAGGCACATCTTTCACTGAGGACCAGAAAACAAGGTTCTAAAAATGTCCCCTTCAAAGTACGTTGGAAGATCTAGCATCTTCTGGAAGATCTGGCATCTTCCTCGACTGCTCATAAATCATTAAGAGGGATGATCCAAGCATTTAATCCTGAAAAGAATGATTAAGTGTCTTGTGATGCTGAGTAATTATCATCCAGGTGAATTGTGTGCGTGGAAGAAGAATCTGATTACCAAACCAGTTTAGGGGAAGGAATTCTCTTTACCCGTATCTGCTCTGGATCAGAATAAGAGCTCTAAACTAGGAGCCTAGAATCACAAGCTGGCTCGTCAAACAAAGGAAGAAGAGTAGTTATTAGCTAACCCGATCAAAATCTCTCTGAAGAGGAAGAAAGCAAAGCAACACACAGTTTAGTCATCACAGATTCTTCTACACACTTACTTAGTAAAGAGCATCATTACTTACTGAAATGTAACCTTGGAACTTGTGCATCCTTCCAATTTACACGACCCTTCACCTGGCTCAGGTGTTGGGGGGGACGGGCTGTTGAATTCTGCCTCCAGAGTTTTCTTGTTCAAGGCTGTTTTTGTTACACTGGATACAGAACCCAACACTGGCATGGATTTGGACTCTGAGGTGGCTAATATCCCGGTTGGACCTTAAAACCAAACACATACCTCAAGTTTAATAATTCCGTGCAATGCTTATTAATATGGTACTGAAAAACAGATTAGCTGAAAATCTCTCAGGAAGTGAGAAGGCCAAGTTTTGTTAAAATTTCGAGAGCATGCTAGAAAATGTTCCTGTTAGAAATATGCTCTGTTTGGGGGGGTACTACCGCTTTTCAGTGCACCAGGACCAAGCTGAGAAATTATGGACAGACCTTTCAGAAAGCACAAAAACCCAGGCCATGGTTCCCTCGCTGACCAGAGTCCTTATTAATACCAGAATTGTGAAAACTCTTTTCTTCTCAGAGCATGGCTTTCTGACAGCCCTACTTGAACCATTTGGCCTCTCAAGAGTTAATTCTTCCCAAAACTCAGCTCTGCGTTTTAAACAGCAAATGGAACAATGTCAAAAGGCTCTTTTTAAAAAGGCTCCTGAAGGCTTCTTAAGCATTAAACAGCTTTTATGAACATTTTCATTTTAATGTGATTGAGAAGTAAGTGGATTTATTTCCTGTTAAAATACAGACACAGGATTCTAAAAATTAAGTGGCAAAGAGTTTGGCTGTTTATCTTTTGGACCTTTCTGCTCTTTGGGATCAGTCTAAATGACTGTAATAGGGCTCGTTACTGAAATTATTGGCGTACCAATCCAAAAATCCTGGGCCCTGAAGCGAAGTTCTTCCGTTACTTGTTTTCTATCTTTAGTCAGAAAGACCTTACCCTAGCCAGCTTTTTCCAAAGCAAGATTCCAATATGTCTTCCTTGAAACCTCAGAAGAAATCTTTGTAAAACATATTTATGTACTAAGTCGTAAATGTGTATGGATAAAATTAAGCTGGGGGACAACCTTGAGAGGTACCACTGTAAAGAGGACAAAACTTGGGAGTCATTCCTTCACAAGTGGCAAATCATCTCCTAAAATGGAAAGCACTAGGGGGCACAATCCAAAATGCTAGCTGATCCTTGGTCGTTAATGTTAAACTCTGGCCTGTTCTCCTCACATCTGCATGTGAATGTGTCTGACGTATCCCAACAGTATAACCTATCAGCTCCCAAACTGAAGTTCTGTGATGTGCAAAACCTCCCGAAAGAGGGGCTGGGAAACCGTTCTGCCGCTCTGTGGTCCCACCTCCCGTGGCCTCACTCCCTGGGGGAGACACAGACCCCCGCCTCTGGCTCCAGCGGGAAGCAACAGCTCCCAAAACGTCAGTTGCCTTCCTCCTTTATTTCACTTCTAGCAGCTGGGCCGACGAGCCTGTGACATCACTGCATGTCCTGATTCAAAAGACCTTTCCCCTCCCACCTAGGACAAGCCTCCTGGTGCATGGGATGTGGGAATGAAGACAGAAGAGCTGGAAGATCAAGAAAGATGCTGAAAAAATACGAAGTTGAATTCAATAGTTGAATTCAATATTTGCTTCTGAGTCGCTCTAGTCTGCCCTTGGGCAGTTGCTGACTACAAAGCTAGACAGCTTTAAGCAATCCGTCCTTGTAGGAAAGTGGATCTGCTTCTGAAAACACCAACGCCCACTGCCTCTTCTGTAAATGAGGCCCGCTACCAAGGACAGAGAGTGGGTGAGCTGAGCCGAACTCGGATTTTTCTTTCTTTTTCTTTTTTTTTAAAATTTATTTATTTGACAGACACAGACACAGCGAGAGCAGGAACAGAAGCACGGGGAGGGGGAGAGGGAGAAGCAGGCTTCCCGCCGGGCAGGGAGCCCGATGCGGGGCTCGATCCCAGGACTCTGGGATCATGACCTGAGCAGAAGGCAGACGCTTAACGACGGAGCCACCCAGGCGCCCCTATTTCTTTTCGTATGTAAGAAAAATCAGAGTTCGGGGGCACCTGGGTGGCTCCGTCGTTAAGCGTCTGCCTTCTGCTCAGGTCATGATCCCAGAGTCCTGGGATCGAGCCCCGCATCGGGCTCCCTGCCCGGCGGGAAGCCTGCTTCTCCCTCTCCCCCTCCCCGTGCTTCTGTTCCTGCTCTCGCTGTGTCTGTCAAATAAATAAATAAAATCTTTAAAAAATAAATAAAAATACATAATATTTAAGATTATTATTATTATTGCATCCTGTTTAAGCTGTCCAGTGTTTTCCAAGAGGTACCTGCTGCTCTTTGAAATGTCAGCTTGGTAGGCCACCAGCCGAAAGTATCAGATAGGTCTGATAAGAGAAACTAAAGAGAAAGGTGCTTCACTGGCCCCGGAGGGAGATAGCAACTATCCTGGGATCTGCTGTCTGCAAAGCTCAGGCTGCCCCCGCCTCTCTTACCATGCTTCCTTTCTCCACTCTGTGACCTCACATTAGCTTCCCCATAAGCCTTTGTGTGCAAAAGGAAAAAAATCTCAAGAGACTCAAGTGTACCTGAAGCCATAAACCTATCAAATTCATCTCTGTAATTTGCTCCCACCATGCAGTGCGCAGCTGTGCTAACTTTAGCTTCTTACTCCTTTCCCCTACCCCCCCAACGCTTTCTGGATTTTCATTTTGTCATTCCATGACCCTTATAAAAAGGTTTATTTGGCAAATACCTCTAATAGTTCGATGCTAGAAAAACAGTGGTACCATCTAAAAAAAAAAAAGTATGATTTCTTTTTCTAGATGATAGAGTTTGTAAATTTGTTTCCTCCTCTCACCCTCCCCCCCCTTTTTTTTTTGCTTTGGCTACTAGGGAGCTCAAAAGAAAATTTCTACTCAGTTACAAGTCACTCTCCCCAATACGGTTCCTCTCTACTTTGCCAGAGTTCTTGTTTCTCTATCCAAATACTGATGATTCTATTGACTATATACCTTATTGTAATATCCCTCAAACGATACATTGAATATTTATATATTGTGGGGTATAATAAATAAAATGAAAGATTCTCAACCATGCCTGTACAGTGCGTTCCTTTCTTTCTCCATTCTCTGAAATATTCAAATTCCCATCTTGACTAAAATGAAAATGTTTCCTGGTTTCTCCCATTGAACACCAACTCTGAAATAGTGCTGTACATCTGACCGAGTTCACGAGTGAAGTCAGAATGCTTCCACAGGAACAAAATACAAAATGTAAATGACAGAACAAAAATGGGATCCACCCAGTCCTAAACAATAATGATGGCTATATGAAAACTCCAAGGATGAAATGTTGGAAGAAGTGATTGTCACAACAGGGATTCATTGTGGGGGCTGGTAAATGCTTATAAAGCAATTCTAAGAAAAAAAAAATCTCTTACAGCACAGCTTAATTTTCCTGAGAGGTGGTTATTTTGGGGGGGAAGGAATTCTTCTATGATATTAACAGCAGAACTTCCAGACCAAACTAAAACCTGAATGGCTGATTTTTTTTTTTTAAGAAGAAAACAAAAGTTTCAACTTTTTATAATAAAGGTTTGGCTGCTATTCTGCTGCTTCCAGTACAAAGAACCAATTTACTAAATTGTCTGAGTAAAATCCCTACATGGAAACTAGAGCTTGATTAACAAAAACCCAAATCCCTCCTATTCTAGCAACTTAAACTTGGTAAACATGACTCAGTGCAAATTTAAATGGACCAACTGGAGTTGACTGAACCGAGTCTAAAAGATTCATCCCATTAGCTACGGTTGCTGGTTAATTTTACTTTGGAGTAGTTTTTCAAAGCCAGCCTCCTGGCCACAAGGGAAAAAGCTCATATGGGTTTCTGCTAATTCCTGTGACCAAGCTGATGGGGAAAAAAACAAAAACCAAAACAGAAGACATACAAAGTTAGTTTTGAGGTCTCATACATGCACATCACGACCCAGTCTCTGAGCTCCAGACTTGCTCAGATGGTTGCTTCTAGCTGGTAACGGAGCTGACATTTCTCATATGCAGAGACAATGAACAGAGTGCACATGAAGGATAAAGACGATGCCTCTGCATTTGTAACTGATGCGTATTCCTACTCTGACTCCTGATCCCTGTGCACTCACTTGGTGCCATGCACACCACTAAGCACTCTCCATACACTGACTTACTCGATCCTTAGAATAATCCAATGAGGCAGTGCTTCGATTACCCTCGTTTCACAGATAAAGAATCTGAGGCACAGAGGGGTTGAGCAATTGAAGGGCAAGCCGCTCGTAAATGGCAGAGCAAGGACTCAAACTCACGCGGTCTGGATCCAGAGCCTGTTCTCGTTGCTACACTATTGTCAGAGCCCATCCTAAGTATCTGTACATGGGGGCATCTTGCCTTAAGCAAGCCCAATCTCTAAAACCTTGATTACCTGCAAATAAATAAACATATCAATAAGCAAAAATATATAATTTCTAATGAGCTACCTATCCATAAGTACCTTTGCCAATCCAATACTTCTCACTCACATTAAAAAAAATTAATAATTATAAAAGATCATTTCATGTTAGAAAGGGACTGAAAGGCAGATGTTTCGGAGAGGAAGAGCAGAACTGCGGAGAATTCAAACCAGCTTACTACTGCTATCTGCTTCTGCTGTCACCTTTCTGCGACGCAAAATCCTTTCTAACTCAGTTTCACTGTTTTCAGTGTCAAGGGATTTTAAGCTTCTTGAACTAGTGGATTTGTTAAGTGTCCCCTAAAGTGAAAACAAAACAAAAACAAAAACAAAAAGGTTAATGTCTTAATACAATATACAAAAGAATATAAAAATCAAACCAGCAAAACATTACCAGAATTTGAATGGAATTAGGAAACAGAATGAATTTGCTATGTATCTATATATATATATATTATTTTTTAATGCGTGTACCTTCAACAACACAGTGTTGGATCTTTTAAGAAGATGCTACTGAGAGTGTCAGATGTTAGCTTTCGCATCCAGAGAACAGTACAAGAACCCCTCTCGATGAGCTAACTGTGAAACTCAGCAGTGGGAAGGTACCTGCACGTCGATGGTGAAGATCCGGATAGATGCTGATCGATGGTGGGGAGAAGAGAAGCATGTAGTGAACTCACCTTCGAAGGTTTTCTTGACACAGCAGCCAAGAGCTACTGAACCCAAGTCCTCGTGGACTGAAAGTGTGTGGCCGAGTCTTCAGAATGACCCAGCTCCCCACCTGGTGGCACCGTGTGGCGGGTGCCATGGGAGGCACAGGGCGCTCTCGTGCAGCCTGGCCAGAGAAGGGCTGCCCCGAGCATCCCCTGACTTCACTGTGAAGGAGGAAGGGTTACGATGACCCAGGGAAGCAAGGAAGGGCCGGCATCGTAATTCCATATTCCTAACAGAGGAGGCAGTGAATGTATTATCCAGGGCCCGGAAGATACTGAAGGAAACAAGAGATGGCATACAGCTGTGCACCTGCTGAATTTGGTACTGACTTTCAAGACAATGGAGGAAGACCCAGGCGGTGGCTCCCGGCCCTGGCTCCTCTGGGAAGCCTGTTATGGAGGGAGAACTATGGCTTTCTATCTCCCAGGACCAGTCAAGGGTGTGTATAGAACGCTGGGTGACACACTTCTCATCCTGTATGTGAGGATTCAGCACTGCACCATTACCAGGGGTCCAGTTTTCTTTCATAAGAAATGCCCACTATTTCTTTGAAATGGCCTTCCTTAGCTGGGCTACGTGCTTGGGGAGGGGGGAAGCCAGGAGATCCACAATCTCTGGATCTCAGCAAATCAGAACCTCAAGTCTGGCATAACTTGCCAGACTTCATGCCACAGTCAGAGGCAGCTTCTGTCCCCCAAGGCCAACAACCAGGCCAGCCTTCCCACCTCAGCTCACTATGGGTTTGCCTTAATCCTGCTCCTGCCTCCCCTGCCAACTTCCTGAAGGACTCTAAGAATTCTACTGGCTAAAAATGGTAACTCATGTTTCTTCTTTAGCCTATAAAACAAAAAAAAAATAGCTTGTAATATTAGGTAGTTACAAATCTCACATGATATAGGTTATTATGTTTTGTTTAGAAAGGCTTCTTCCCTAACTGGGTAAAGGCTTTGAGAAACAGCCTGTGGAGATGGGGCAGGGGAGGGGATTGACTAACAAGATTAGGAGATTTTATTCTTTTGCTATTAGCTACCCAGCTAAGATCAATGTGTAAAATACGTAGATAAGGCTCATACTGTAATCAAGCATATGATACTCCACCCCCCAAGTATCTCTTTCTGCTTTTCATTTATTGCAAAAATTCATAAAATATATTCAAAGGAAAATCACATTACATGTAACATATGTAAAATAATAGCTTATTTTATAACTTAAAAAATTGGATGATGTGGTTTATTTGACAGTTAATGCAGATCCTTACCTACTCATCAAGGACTTAAATACTAAAATAGGATCAAGACTGATAAGATAAAGAAAATAGAACTAAGCCAATTAAGACAAATTTGAAAAAATGTATTAGAAAAACTATTCCCCAAATCATGTGTTTGCAATTTTTAAAACTTACCAGCTGTATCATTTGTAAACAGATATTTGAAAAATGTAAGGCCACTGCTGTTACCTGAAACTATTACATCGCTTGAATGTCAAGAACGTTCTTTGATTTTTCCCAACGGCTGGAGTTAATTCAAGAAAGAGATCTGTGTCTGTACACATACACCTTGCAAGGATATCTTTTAAGGAAGAATTTCTCTCTCACCATAACCTCAACTTTTCACTTGAATAACAGCATTCATTCCCCCACATTCTGAGGGTGCTGAGCCACCCTCTCATCACACCTGATACTGAACGATTCCGTTTTCCAAGTTCTAATCTTTGAATCTCAAACTTTTTTTCTCCAACCACTGACTGATGTGACCGATTCAGCTAATACATGAGTAAACTTTAAATATGCAGGCACTTACGGAGAAAAAGAAAGATTTCTACATGACGCTCAGTTGAAATGATCAAGGAGCTCAGCTGATAAAGTACCAAGACTGTCTAAATTGTCTATTTATGTATTAGTCATAAAGTCTGAGGATCAGAAATTCACTTAGAAGGCATGCGGTACACAGAATTCCTTCACTTTACAGAGAAGAGAATTCAAACTCAGTGAACCTTGGGGTTTGGGCTGGGCCCCACAGTAAGTCAGTGACAGGGCTGGACTTGAACATAGCTCTTCTGATTCCCAAACCACTGTTCAATCTCAGTCCCCATGGCGGTTAAATGTTCGTAACACCAACTGATCTAATTGTCAGTGGCAAAACCAACTATTCGATGATTCCCTCTGAAAAACTGAAGATGTTCGGGAAAAACCTAAAAGAGAATTTCTTAGAGGTTGTTTTTATTTGATTTAGAGGCAAATGAACTTTAAAGAGACTTCTAGATTAATTCGTATGGATTTATTCTTCAGAAATCGCTGTTCCCACTTAGAGTGACTTTACATGACTGGGGTGATTTGGGAAGTCTCCAAAACCTCCAAAAAAACCCTTGTGTGACTATGAGAAGTAAACTGTAAGTTTGTTAAATCTACAAAACTTACAGCTTCTAAAAATTCAGTGTACACAGGCTTGGAAAAATAAGTTCAGTTGACACTGAAACTACAGCAATTGGCTTGGAAAGTGTCCACATTCAAACAGAGCGAGATTTTCCAAACCCCAAGCCAGAGATGTGTTTCTACTTGTGGGCTAACTTTCAGCAAAAGGCCCAGTCTCCAAGTGGTGACGTCCCTACAACTCAGGTCACATCTGACTTCAGCAAAAACACCAGTTTCTGCTTGTTTTCCTGGTTTCTGTTCTACAGTCGAACTGAACATGAGGTTTCTTGGGTTTCTTGGCCTCTCTCAGCACAGATGCTGGCTCTCCATCACAGTCCACCTCTGGCAGGCTGTCCATGCTCATGTGCTCTGCTGGGACTAACTCTGACAACCCTAACAGTCTGCGTGCCAGCAAGAAGCACCAATAAAGGCCCACCGAAGAGGGGCTTCCTTTCTCTCTCTCACAAGGAGTTGTATGGCTTCTTGGCCCCAAGTGACTGGGGGTTCCAAATGATCCATCATCCCTCAAAGGGTACTTCTACGGGGGTACTGGAGAGTTGCCATTTGGCAAAGAAGAGCAGGGGACAGCACCATGAGTTCCACTTTTTAAAAACACTTAATGCAAAGATATAATATTGCCAGAATAATAGCTATTAGGAATACCTTAATGCCAGACAAGGTACAGAAATCTAATGATAAATCCAGAGTGAGGAGGATGGGGGCAATTTGCAGAAAAGAAAGAAATTCTGACAATTTTTTAAATTTGTAAACTATTTCCCAAAAATCTACGCTGCAAATTTCTCTCCTTGAAGTGGCACAAAATTATACTGAATATGACTGGATAGTGAACGTGATCTTTAAGAACAACACTATAATTCAGTAAACTTGTTACCATCCAGCATTATCAGGGAGTGGGATATCTTGGCTAATCAAGTATCATCTGTATCTTAGACAGATGTCCGATTGTTCAAGTAAGCCTAATTTTAAATAGTCAACCTCAGTGTACTCTTTCACTAATGATCAGAACTCTACTCTGGGGCATCTTCATGAAGAGGAATTAGCATCCTGATGTGCAAGACGACGAAAGAACCCTGCACAGGGAGTTCTCACTGGATAACAAGGTTTTCTCTTCAAAGAATCCATTAGATAATAACGACATACTTTTTCAATGGTCATCATCCTTTATTCCGTAGGTGGACCACCACTGTGAGCCAGGCTATACCTCTCTTTAGGACTAATTCCACTCACCTAAACCTAAAGCAAACTAATTAAGCCACTCTGAGTTCAGTCTGCTGTTTCATGCTTGATGAAAATAATTTTGTTTACCACAATTATGTGGATGTCTACATGCAATGCATAATTAACACCGTAACAACAAACACGAGGATACTAGTTCTGTACCTCCGCCCCCACATTTGGTGACTTACTGTGCATAATAACTGGTATTGAGACCGTAACAGGATCTGAGACTAGAGCTCTTAGTACCTGAAACATTTTCTAAGTGAGGCATTTGTCTCTGACGGCAACTGTCGGACAGGCCAGGACCCACTCATTCTGTTGGCAAAAGCTCATAGTTTGCAAGGAGAAAAAAATAGCTGGAGACGGGCATTAGGCCTGTTCTGCAACGGACAGGAGTTACCTTTAGAAAATGAAATGAGTAATGGGGCGCCTGGGTGGCGCCGTCGGTTGAGCACCTGACTCTTAGTTTTGGCTCTGGTCCGTGATCTCAGGGTCGTGGGATGGAGCCCCACCTTGCGTTCCGTGCTCAGCAGGGAGCATGCTTGACATTCTCTCTCTCTCCTTCTCCCTCTGCTCCTCCCCCTCCCCATGCTCGCTCCCTCTCTCTAAAATAAATGAATAAATCTTTAAGAAAAAAGAAAATGAAATCAGTAACATAAAGACAGGGACTTTTATCTTATTCTCCAATTTATCATCAAATAATTTTTTAAACTATGAGGAGAAGCAGACTGTGACCCTGATTCCTGATACTAACATATTTGGGTGGGAGCTCAGATGGACATTTTGGCACCAAGAGTTCTACTTTTGCGCCCCCAAATCAAGCACTATCCATGTAATATACTCTACTGTGTTTCCATTCTGGCCAAGCACGCCCTCATCCTCAGATCTGGTCACTCTGTCTTGAAGTTGTCAGGCAAGGACTGGAGGGCAGGAATAGGAAATAGCGAATTTTATGAAAGTGTAACCATCTTCTAGAATAGAAACAGCGGAGTATTGATGCATGACGCATATTAACATGCCCGATGGAGGAGTCCACGGCACAATCAAGAGGAACTACCCAAAGAACTGAGGATTATTGTGAACAAAAATAAAACCTATCAAAACCAATTATTCATAAAAATAGATTTTAAAATATTCTCCTTTCAGTTTCCCATAAACTAAATAATAAAACCGAGATCCATTCTTACCAGTATGCCTTTGAGCTCATTCACAGCACTCTCAGAGCCTTTTGAAGATTCTGGCTACAATTTTAAAAAGAAAGCACAATTACTAATACTAATAATACTAAACAGAGATATTTACATGGCAAAGTATTGGCAGCTTCTGGTGACTATTTTTTTAAAAAATCAGGTCTATGTCTTACAGTTAGGAAAAAAGATTAGACAGGTCAGTGCTCCTAAGCAGTGGCAATAGAGAAAATTAGGGGAAGTAGTCAAAGCAAGAGGACTCAAGCTCCCATCTTCTAAAGGCCATTTTGTCACCTCTTGTTATCATCATACAGAGAAAAGGTTTGGTAAACACCAGACTTCAAGGATTCAATTTCAAATATTCAGAACTTTTTACAATAAGCACGGCTGGCCTGGCGCCCGCGAGCGAGGGGTGAGAGGGAAGGCAGCAGCATGGGGCAGGTGGCAAGCGACCGGCAGAAACCTCTCTCAGCTCCGGTAGCTCCAGGGGACTGGCGCGTCTGGTTTCAGGAATTTCACAACAGCACTGAGTCGGGAGCAGGGGTCAGCGAAGAGCCTGGCTTCACAGGAGAACGTTAGCATCACTGGCCACCGAAGCGGTAAGAGAGGCCTCAGAGGGCGCACAGCGCAATCCCTCCGTCTTACTTGTGAGGAAAGGTACACCTTGAGAAAGGCTGTAGTTGAGTCTTGATGACAAGCCCAGTTGGCGTCTGGCTATGCCATGAACAAAATAACTTGAAATGAAGTTCTGGGGAATACTCGCCTACCCCACGATACCTGAGAGTCTCTATGGATCCCTTGGCTAACTTAGTGGAGGAAAAATCTAGCACGAGGTTCTCAAAGACCTCTGATCTCCCCCATACCACCTCCTTTCACAAAGGACATAGATGGAGGGAGAACCTGCAGGGAACTCCCTGGCCTCTCATTCCTGGAAGAGGTAAAGCTAATTTCTCTCTCATCGAGAGACGGGAAGTGATCAATAGCGACCTATAACCCTTTCCTCTCAAAAGCTAATGAAAGAATAAGATCCCGTTCCCATTTTTTTTTTAATGGACGTGAGAGAAAGAGGGAGAAAGGGAGCAAGAGAGGGAGAGAGGCAGAGAGAGAGGGGGTTGGGGAGGGAGAGAGATCTGCTGCTCAGGTACAAACTGGACGGAGACATTCCACTTTCATAGTCTATGCTTTCTGGGAAACACACGTGCCATCTGCGCCAGTCACAGGTGCCAGTCCAAAGCTCCAAGACACTAATCTCAACCACAACAGTAGCCACGACGACATCCAGGAATTTAGAAAATATGCGGTTAAATTAGTGTTCTCCAGGCAGGTCTGACTTGTGCAGGTACGCGGTGCGGGGGACGAGCTGTGACATTTGAGCAAGCGCCCAGGCTCCAGGCCACTCAGTGCCACCACACCACCGCCTCCGGACTGCAGGCGCCTCCTACAGGCCGGAGCCTGTGACCTCGGCAGGAAAGCACCACTGTCCTGTGCCGGGGAGTCTGGTAGCGCATGCAGTGACCACTTGTTCCAAGGTTACTGAGCGGGTCCATTCAGCACTACCTCTACATGGTTGCATGGTTACCCGTGAAACACCCAGTCGTCCACTGCTCCTTGTTCAGCTGTTCTCCAGCTCTGAACTGACATTAAATAACGCGTAACTGTTGGAAGAGTCATGGCAAGAAGGAAAAAGGACAAAGTGATCCTCTGAAAAGGAAAGTACATACAGAACACTGATTGCTTAGGATTTAACAGGTTTTCAACACTTTTCTCTCTAAACTAATTTTGCTTCTCCGTGACGTTGCATTTTTCTCTAGTCTGTTGGTTTGGCTGACTCATTCCGAAAGAGCTGTGACACGAGAGTCTTAAAAATGTATTCACGTCAAAGATTCCACTGAGATCCCCCGTTTTTAAGTGTTCTCACACTATTGTCCACTTGAGCCTGACAACAACCCTGTGAGTGGGAGAGGGCCGGCACTCTGCCCATTCTGGGGAGAGAAGAGCCTGGGATGCGGGGGAGTGAGGGGGGTAGCATCTGGCCCCAGCTCCATCAGCAGGGAGCTTCAGGTGCCAGACACGGACAACACGCGGGCCAGACTGAGGGTGCTCCGTCCCTCACCTGGAAAACTGCTCCCTGAGCACTCGCGCCGACCAGCACTCCATGCGGCCGCGAGAGCTTCCATTTCACTGTACATCAATCTACTCTTGCAGCTGGGTATTCTTTCCCTCGTTCCAACCCCCTTTCCACGGGCAGCCCCCGCCCACAACAACTCCTGCCCTGCCCGGCCACCTCGCCTGCCGGTGACCAAGTGGTGACTTTTAAAGTCCATCAAAATTTGTACTTAATAGTCATGATACTTGGGGCCCCTGAAGCAGGTGAAGAGGAGCATCCATGAGAGTAAGAAAGAACATTAAAGTTTGGTTCAGAAAAAGAAGAAAGGGGACCCCTCCGCTGAGGCTTTAAGACAGGGAGAAAACAAACAAAAAAACCCATTTTTCAAGACAAATATCAAAAACCCTATTGTTGGTCTATTTCAATGTGACACACCTACGAGATAAGGGAGAACTAGGCTCTAGGCGCTTCGCTAGATCTTGGTGCTCACTGCCGCGGCAGCTGATGATGTATATATACAAAACGTTCTCCTTGAAGTGGCCTGGACCAGGTTTGTAAAATTAATGAGATCAGACGAACCTATTTTTCAAAAGTTGTCTTAAGTCCGTTCTGACACTATCAGGCGATGCCACCTGCCCACCCGGCCCCCCTCCCCTCACACGGAAACAGAAGCCTCAGGAAGGGCAAGGATTTGTTGCCTCTTTTGTTTCCTGCTTTATCCCCAGGGCCTAATACAGTACCAGGCACACAGGAGATACTCAATCCATACTTGTTGAATTACACAAAAGGAATTAAAGAAAAGAAAGGGTATGATCATTCTTTGTTCGGTGTAGCAGTTCATATCAAGCAGAGGACAGCGCCTGCAACAACAGGACTTTCTATAGGGATTTAGGTTAACTGCGGCTCAAACAGGAGTCCTGAAACATGCCTGTATAAGAGTAGAGGCTTTTATGACACATTAGCCTTATCCTAAGATTTCACAGTCAGCCCTGATGTCGCTTTCATCAAATTTCAAACTTTTACACTTGAAAAAGGAAGCATCACAGGAGGGGCGACATTTAGTCATTCCATACCTTTGCCTTCGGTCTAGCTGTCTGATTAACGGGCCTAAGATGAACTCCCTTTTTAATTCTATCCATCATCTCTTCAACTGCTTGCCTCTTCAGATCCGTGACTTCTTCAGCTATCAAAGAACACACACAGAAATCATCTTATGTTACAAGAAAACAGCTACTTTCTATTCCGATGCACTTTGTAATTAGGCACAGCCGCTTTTCAGACAGAATCGTACGACATCGAGAAACAATTTACTGAGGTTAACAGCTACCAGGTAGCCACAATTTTTTTTATTAAAAGAATCTTTTAATAAAAGACCTGTTTTTTTAAAAAATTAGAGTTACAGGGGTGCCCAGGTGGCTCAGTCGGTGAAGCGTCCTACTCTTAATCTCAGCTGAGGTCCTGAGTTCAAGCTCCATGTTGGGCTCCACTTAAATAAAATAAAATAAAATAAAAATAAAAATTAGAGTCATAAAATTTAAGCTCTAATTTGTAGCCTGGAAATCAATATTGGCTCATCTCTGTTAAACAATTAAAGTGGATTCGGTTCCATTTGTCAGCATAATGATAGACCTGAATTTCTCCAGCTTTCTACCTAACCCCAAATATTCATTCGTCTTTGCCTCAGAGATGTTTTTATAACATCCTATGTCAAAGAAATCATCCCAAAGAAGGCATAACTATCAAAAAGCCCATTTGAAAATAAAAGATAAAAAAGATCTGTTAACATGTTGGAAGAAATACACAGACAGAAGATGAACAGCGGATACGTGAAATCTATTTTTAAATTGCCATCTTTTGTTTAGGAATCACAATGGAAGGAAACATTTAAGTAAATCTTTTTCAAGTCTTTTTAAATTGTCAATGTTAAAAGAAAACATACACCCAGAAATGATTGCAATTAAGTAATTAAATTTGATTAAAAAAATTTCAACTGTCTATTGTTTAACCTTTGCACTAATTTTGCCACAAAAACAATAATGCTGTTGAAATATACATGAATTAGATGAATGTAGCTGAGATGGGCTTAAAGCTATTGATCAGAATAATGAAATTTGTCTACTGCACAATAGCTTGACCAAAGGCCCTCAATCGTTTCTGGAACGTTGATCACCATTAATGCCATTCTAGATCTCATGTTTACATCCGTCTCATTCACTGCAACCAATATATTTAAGTTTAAATACCTCATGAAGACCTTCCTCTTAGGCCGTTTAGCGTACTCTACAATGTGGGGCATATGGTAGGCACTCAGCAAGCATCCACCTGCTGACTGACTTGTTAAACTTTTGGCTTTATATGGCTGTTAATATTTTTGCTATTTGAGCAGAAATAGCTGAAGTCCAAAAGGACAGTTTCTAAATGGAGGCCATCACAACAATGTCCCCAAGCCAAGGGACAGGAGTGTCAGGCTTTGCACTAATGAGGCTTATGACATCGTGGCTTCTTTTTCTGCCACGTGGACGTCACGCTAACACTGAGTAGCTATTCCTCTTACGTTATGCCTCAGGGAGCAACCAGAAGAATCCAGAAGGTTCCACCATCCTCACCTTGACAACACCACAGTGATGGGATCACTGCTATACTCACTGTACAACCCAAGTCTTCCGATACAGTCTTAACTTCAGATAGGGTCCTGTCATCTTCATGGGCCATTGAAATGTGGGGAATGAGAAGTTCTCAATACCTAAACAGCACTTTTCAGATCCAGATGGCAAGAAAGCATCTTTTGCCAGGCAACGTGGGAAACATGGCACCGAAGTCAGAACTCACCCACCAGTAAATGAAAGAAAGCAAAACTGTGGGTTGATCAACTCTGTGCCCTTAAGTAGCATTTTCTTGGGTAGCTTCTGCAGATGGCTCCCAAACATCAACGAGGAGACAGACAAGAAAACTACTATGGAGAGATATTCATTCATTCATTCATTCATTCACTCAATCGCTCACTCACTCATTCAATATCTGAATACCTATTATGCACAACGTGGTGCTTGTGCTGACCCTACTCAAAGTCAGGGGAGATAAAACCCAGATCTGCCAGGTGCAGGTATGGTAAGGGTATGGAATCCGTTCCTGAGAATTTTTTTTTTTAAATCAAAAAAAAAAAAAAAAAACATTTGATTTTTCAGAAAGCCTGCCATTTTGAGTGAGACTTGAGAAGAGCTGCATGGCAACAGGAACAAGGCCGACAAACAGATTAGCGCTCTGTAAGGAAGGACTGAAACCCAATTAAATGCACCATACAAAAACTAATTAAGGCAGACAGATGGAGAATTATGGTCGACACCATTCAAATCTGCTGCAGCATCTAACATAACAGGAATTTAAAGTAGTTTCTTATTTTTGCTTGCCAGAATCATCGTGATAATTCAGAGAAGTACCACTATCTGTATTGTGTACAGATTATAAACCAGGCTCTAATTTCTTAGTCTTTTCCAAATGTAAAGGCTTAATTGGTCTTAAGGAAAAGAAATCGCTCTTATCAGATTCCCTACGTGGGCACAATACAAGGGCAATGCTAGGTTAGCTACACAAGCTTTCCCTCTCACCGACCCTGTTTTTGAACTAGCAAAAAGCAATCTGTGCGAACTTCTAAACTATTAAGCAGCTCTAATAAATCTGCACGGATCACCTACAGAGAGCTCATGGCATGTTTTGTAATTCTTTTTGCGATCACGCAGTTAGTAATTGTCTCACAAAAGCCTGTAATCAGGAGGACAATGGAAATATGCAGGATTCTGGAGATTAAAGAAAAGGGACAAATGAAGACAACAGGTCTAATGTCACTGAACTGCCACAGGAAAATCAAATCAAATGTTCTTTGAGTTAGTGCTTCAAGGTCAGTCTTAGATCAGAAAGCTACATGTAATTAATTGAGGCTTAAATTTTAAGACCCACTTGAAAAGTAAGCTCGTTCCTCAAAGACCCACAGACAAAACCATCACCTTGTTGCTCAATAAAGCCTTTTGTTATTACCTAGAAGAAACGAAAATGAATTTCTAAGTTCCACAGGATTACTTTTCTCTTTCATTAACATTTTTAAAAAGGCGTTTAAAAAGAATCTTATGCCACCATGATGTACAAAATTTCTAAAGAACGCATCATGGTTGAGTAAGTTTGAATTTGACCTAAGGTCATAAAGTTAAGGATATTTCCTTAACTACAATGATCACAAGAGCCTGCTGAATGAGGACTTCTGCCCCTCAAGGGGTGGTTGGAACCCTGTCTTTCTTTTGTTTTTTTTTTTAAGCTAACATTTTGAGTATCTGAGTATATGCTGGGTACTAAGCTAAATACTTCACATGTTAGGAGACTCATTAATTCTCACAACCACCCTATGAAATAGGGATTATGGTTATCCCCACTCAGCAGGTTAGCAACCTAGGTAAGAAAATGTCAACATATTAATGACCTAAATATTCGATAAGCAGCAAGCATATCTCTAAAATCTCAGAACTTGGGGCGCCTGGGTGGCTCAGTCGGTTAAGCGACTGCCTTCGGCTCAGGTCATGATCCTGGAGTCCCTGGATCGAGTCCCGCATCGGGCTCCCTGCTCGGCAGGGAGCCTGCTTCTCCCTCTGACCCTCCCCCCTCTCATGTGCTCTCTCTCTCTCTCATTCTCTCTGTCTCAAATAAATAAATAAAATCTTTAAAAAAATAAATAAATAAAATAAAATAAAATCTCAGAACTTGTCCAATACATGCATGTTTATCAAAATTAGAGTTGTTAATTTAAAATTTGTTAATTATTTCTTACATTTAGACCTTAAAACTACGTCTAAAATATTCCAGACCTTCCCCTACAATGACGCTTTTTAAGAGCCACACCCTAGCAATGAAAGTTTCTTCGTTCATCAGCTCTGAGAAGCACACCAACTGGCTAGTGAAAGCCATCATAAGGTGCTAACAAAAAATAATACTGGGATAGCAAGACTGATCCCTACTTAGAAATGTAAACTCTGAAGTGTCACAGACAACCCCAATGTTTGATGCTCTGCCTTCATTCATCATGCATTTAATCACTGTTGATTTATTCATTCAACAACTATTTTTAGTGTGAACTGTTAATAAGACACTATAAACAACTACCCTGCCAGACAGAGAGAGGCTGCAACCATGTCTGTCTACGGTCCCTATCATTTAAGGCAGTATAGTTTTAGGGTGGCTTCAGTTTCCAGTCTCATGAGTGACTTCTGTACCAGCAACTCTACTTAAACATCCCAGGTAACAACCCAATAGCTCAGGAATGAGGGAGAGAACACTGCCCCGTATCATGAATCGTAAATGAAACATCACTTTCATAAGGAAAACTATATGGTTTCTAACACTGGGGTTAATAAGCTTAGAATACTTTTTTTTAAAACTTAAGGGTGCTGTCGAGGTTGACAAGCTAATAATGTCATTTACTTAGAAGGGGATATCATTTTATTTTGACTGCCCTCCTGACCCTCTGAGCTTTACCAATTGTCCCAAAACAAGATTGAAACAAACAAAATTTTAAGTTTAATTAGAGTGTCAGGAAGGCTTGTAGCCAGTAACACAGGCTCAGGGCTACCCTGCCAATCGCCAAAGACAAGACTTCTGAATCCTGCAACGCCTTGTGACAAGCAGAATGGCCCTTTCAGCAGTACTATGAGAGGAATAGGTTCCAAAGGGTTGTAGGAGGCAGGCACCAAAAGTCAATTTATACAGATGAAATCAACTAGCTTTCATCTGTAACGGTGCTGCGAGTTTCTGGTAAAGAAGGATAGGGCTAGGTCTAAACTTGGATTCACTGAAGGTGCATGCAAGCTGCGGGAGACCTGCAGGCAGGAGTAAGCCCTCAAAGAGCTTGCAATTGGTTCCAGCGGAGAGACGTGGAAATAACCCCAAACACCACATCAGAGGCTGGGGGAATGGAACATTATAAAATCTGAAGCAAAATGCTACCGCAACACACAGCAATGAGCCAATACTAAGGAGCTAACCCTCAGAAACAAGAGGAAGTGGAGGGCAGAGCCTGGAACCTACACAGGAGCCGTGGAATCAGAGCCCCCTGCCCGGGAAAGCTCTGAGCAGAGGAAAGGCAGCAGAGCAATTCTGGAATGAGGACACACAGAGCAAGTGCATAGGGGGCTTTGAGGTCATGGTCCAGCCACAAGGTAGAGCAGACGTACAGAACTGAGGCGGAAGTAACATCAGAAAACCACCGCTAAGCAGCCTACAGGGTTTGGACTCTATTGTGATGCAGTGAGAACACAGCAATGTCACGGGACATGGGACATCGATCTGAGAACGTCACCCTGCCAATGGTAGGAAAGTGGCTGGACCGTATCGATGAACCTGGGGCAGGAAAAGGGGGCCAAGAAGTCCACACCAGACTGGGCTTGAACCAGGCAAATCCGCCATGCTTTGTAACTAACAGGTGCTGAGCAAACATGTTGAGTTGAATGTGGGTTCTACTGGTCTACCCGCAGCTCTGTGAGCCAGCCCTACTCCTGGCTGCCAATGTCTCTGCTCAGTGTAAAGCCTTCTCCCTCCACTTCCATCAGTTCACGTTATCCTCAACTTCTCCCCTCTCCAGCGAGTCAGACTCCTGTGAATTGCACCTCCCGGAGCTGCTCCTGGATTTATCCACTTTTTTCTGTCTCCACTGCTACCACCCTCGTCTGAGCAATGTGCATCTGAACGACGGACAGCCACCCCCATCCTCTCATTCCTCTGCAGTCTACTCCCTGGCCTCTCCCTGCAAACAGTGTGATTGCTTTAAAAAGACAAACCTCACCATGTCACACCCCTACTTAAAACTTCTCCTGCCCTTAGGACACATTTCAAAATCTTGACCACAGCCTTCAGAATCTGGCTCAGACTTCCTCTCTTGCACCCCATGTTCCAGTAAATACCAACCTCTGTTCAGTTTCCTAATGGGCCAAGCTCCTTCCCCACTCGGGACCTTTGATTCGGTTGCGCCTCTATGGGAACTACTTTTATTCTGAATACCCCCATCCTGACTTCCCAAAACCAAACTACTCGGCTTAAGCATCTCTTCCTGATACCAGCAGTCCCTCTCCTTCCTCTCTTAGAAACGTGTGCTCTTCCTCCAGGTAATCGTCCTTATTTACTTCCTGCCTCCCCCTCTCATGTCACTTCTATGTCTTCTGTCTCCAGCACGCAGCATGAGACCAGTACATAGCAGGTGCTTGATCAAGTCTCAGTTCACTTGCTATCAACTCTAAAAAGTCTTTCCCCAAACCCCTCACCTGGAATCACTCCCTCTCTTTCCTTTACACCTCCTCCTGGAGAGAACCTCAACCTGTAAAGAAGACATATCCCAGCAGACCGCACATTACAGGTGACCTGCTGTAGACAAGGAGCCACACGAAGGCAGGGACCATTACCTTGTTCCTTCTGATCAGCTGCTAGGTTCACATTTCTCCCCAGATAATCTGTTCACAGTCAAAGAACTCAAAGACTATGTGTGTTGTTGAAAACCTGGGATGAAACCACTGAAAGTAAACCAAAGGGGGTGAAAATTACTTGTTTCTGGTTGAGCTGCCTTTTCTTTCTTAGCACCACCGCCGCTGGGATGGGATCGCTTCCGGATCATGGACATGAGGGATCTTTGGGAGAAAGAAGAAGAATGACAGGAGATTACTGGACACCTGACGATTCAAGAAATAAAATGTACTGATTCAAAATAATCAGTAAAAATCCAATTCTTCTCTAGGTGCATAAATGGATAGCTAGAATTTAGGAGTCTACTTTCCACTTTTAATAAATTATTGAACTTTTCAGCACTTTAATGAAGAGAAAGAGGTCTCATCCCTTTCTGCGTGGAACCAAACTCATTACTCTAAGAAGGGAGCCACTATAATTACCATTACAATACTGGGCAGAGTAAAACAGAAAAAAAAGCCAATATCCATACCTACAATTCAGAAACAGCTATCTATGTAATACTTTTGAGGGAGAGGGAAAAATCAAAGAATTAGGGGATGTTTTCACCTGTGAAATATGGGCATAAAACATCTGAACCTGAGTGACACAGAACAGATACTTAAGGGATAAAATACATTTAGACCACAGTCTCTCTGGTCCATGTTTACAAAATCTGTACAAAATCCAAATCATGAAAAATTTGACCACATTAAAATTTTAAGACCTCCACATATTAAAAGACACCATAAAGAATAAAAAGAAGTCAGAGGAGCATGTGACTCTTGATCTCAGAGTTGTGAGTTTGAGCCCCACGTTGGGTGTAGAGACTACTTAACTTAAAAAAATTGAAAAAAAAAAAAACTTAAAAAAAGAATAAAAAGAAACTCAAAGATCAACAAGAAAAAGCATACAACCAACAGAAAAAATGGACAAAAGCCTTGAAACTCCATAAAAGAGTAGTCCAAATCTCCAAAACATGTACCCAAAAGAGTGCTTGACTTCACTAGCTACTAGAAAAAACAAATGAAACCCACATTGAGATACTACTACATAATCATCATCAAACAGGCAAGAAATTGCAAGTCTGATAATATCAAGTGCCCGTAGGTCTGTGGAATAACAAGAAGACAGTGGATGAACTTCAAACTGAAGATGGTAGATGAGCCGATGGTGCCACTTTGGAAAACCTGTCTGGCATTATCCAGTGGAGCTGAAGACAGACAGATCCTAGGAGCCAGGGATTTCACTTCTGTCTTCTGTCTATCTTACAGAAATGCAAGCCCTTGTGCACAAGGATTCATTTGCCAGAATGTGTAGAATTCCAGAACTTCCCTGAACTGGTAATAACTCAAATGTACAATGGATAAACACACTTTCAGATGTTTATAAAACAGATTATGTATCCATGAATATGGATGAACTTCAGCTACCCAACAGAACATGGATGAACCTCACAAAATAACATAGAGTAAAAAGAACAAGATCCAAATGAATACAGTAAAATTCCAATTATATAGTTAGAAAAAAAAATGTTATATTTATAGGAGTTCAGGGATCTATATGTAGGCAAAATTTGTTTCTTTAAAAACAGGCTACCAGTATTTTTATTTCTTGATTTGGATGGTGAACACATGATGTTCACTTCATACTACTTTTAAACTGTATGTAAGTTGGTGTATGTTCCTACATATATGTTATCAGTCTCTCCTCAAAAAAGTTTACAAAAAAAAACAAATGAACCAAGGATTCTTGAACTATATTATAAAAACGTTCATTATAAATATTCTCGGTGTGGTAAATGGGATTTGACAAAATACAGTCATGAGGAAGCCAAGCTGGGAAGGCATAATGCTACATCTGGAAAAAGGGGCATCTGGATGCACATGGCAATACCTGGCTGAGGACAGAACAACTCCATGTTTCTTAATCACCATGATTTTTAGATTTTTTCTTTTTAAATTTCTTACTTATGCCTTGAGATCTATTATTAATATCCTCTCTAACTGCCTTTTCTTAAAATTCCCAAATACACTGAACAATCTCTTGCAAAGCACAGGAAAAAGAAAGCACTACGCTCAGCTCTACCCTGTGAGGTTTCTAGAACCTACCAACAAGCATATTTTATTCCTGAAGTTGGGAGAAATGAAATCATGCAAACTTTATTTGTGCATGTTCCCCACTCCGTCACTCAAGGCAGGACTACTCAATGTCTACAGGCTAACATTCCATGGTAGCGTGGGGCTTGGACAGGGTTCTCCCCAGGCACGGCCTCATCTTATCCTCTCCCAACACTCTGCAGTGAACCCACCGCTGACTCTGAAATTTTCAAGATTACAAAGCAGGAAGATATTTGTACTGCTTGGAATATTTGTATATGTTTACATAAATGACGTCAAAATTGATGTTCATCACCATAAACCACCTAAATAGATGAGAGGAAGTGCTAACTTTCACTGTTGGGAATTAAAGTATAAGCTGGAGCCTCCTATGGTGCCCAGAGGAAAATCATCTGTAATATTTTTAAAAAGAGCCCTCTGTCAAGATGGGGCTTAGATTACAATAAAGCAGGTCTCACAGGACAGATGAGAAGATCAGGATAAGACATCTGGGACCTATAATCCAACCTCTGGCTAAAATTGCCCCATTTCACAGTCAGTTCAATTGAATGCGTAAAAGCTTCAAGCAAGAGCCCCCAAAGATGGCACAGTTTGGTGGAAAATATTTACCTTGAAATTCTTTAATCAGTGTTTCTCAGGCCACTATGATGGTTAATGTTATAAGTCAGCCTGGCTGGGTCATGGGATACTCAGATATGTGGTCCAACATTATTCTGGGTATTTCTGTGAGGGTTTTGGGTAAGATTAACATTTAAATTGGTAGCCTGAGTAAAGCAGACTACTCCCTAATGTGGGTGGGCCTCACACAATCAGTGGAAGGCCTAAATAAAACAAAAGGATGACCCTTCCCTAAGTAAAACAGAATTCCTCCTGCCTGCCTACCTTTTGAAAGATGAAATTAGGACATCTGCTTTTCCCTGCTTCCAGACTTGAAACACTGCCTCTTCCTGGGTCTGGAGCCTGCTGACCAGCAGACTGAGACCACACCATAGGCTCTCCTTGGGCTCCAGCTTTCTGACTCACCCTGCAACTTGCCAGAGTCCATAATCATGGGAACTAATTCCTTAGAATAAACCCATGTGAATGGACATGATGTATACACATGTACATACACACCCCCCTACTGGTTCTGTTTCTCTGGAGAACACTGACTAGTACACCAATGAACCTGCCCTTTCCCCCTTGGGCCACACCTGCCCAGGACCTCTCCTGTGTTCACCACTGCTAATACAACATGACCAAGGTCTACTTTCTTCCTCGACTTCCTCTCTCCCACCTGTCCCCTGGGTCAAATGAGCAGGCCCTAGTCTTCTTTTTTTTTTCCCCCCACTTTCATTTCTATCTATGATCTCTGTCAGGGTGAAATAAATGAGGCTCAGGAACAAAGTTAGAAAACCTTGACTGGTGGATTTAAAGTCCATTGAAACTCAATACATATGCAAATATATTTCTTTGACAAGAAAGTACTCCTTACCAAAAAAAAAAAAAAAAATCTTTCTACTGAGAAATTACATCTTCTACTACTTAAATTCATCTTAAAATAAAAATCATTCATGTTATTCAATGAAAATTTTCTTTAAAGGGCCTTATAAAAGAGTTCATGCTTTAGACATACATAGTCTGAATCCTACCTTTATTTCTCAGTAAAACTGTAAAGTGCTCTTTGGGAAAATATTCTATTTAGGTTATACTTTACTTTTAATTCCAAGGGCTTCCAGATTTGTGAGACTAAAAACTAAAGGCCAACAGCAAGACTATAATCATGTTTTTAATATTCTCCCTCCTCATAGACAGAAGTGACCTTTCTTATCAGCTCAAAATTCTACACCTTAGAGAAAGATGAAAGTGATGAATCTCCTATTTTAAGTGTCAAATTCAGGATATCTCCAACAGATTTTAGCTACCCAGGACAGAAGGAATTTAAAATATCTGAAATTCTTTCAATGGACTCTTGGATCAATCATGTGTAAAAATTATTTTGCCTTGACTACTTCACTGGCTCAAAGTAGATTATGTCATACCCTCCTCAGTAAGAAAAACTAATGAGAACCTTTTTAAAAGGCAAAGTCTCATTTTCATCATCGTGTGGGAGGAACACGCTACACATTCTATTCACACAGATCAGCAAAGGTGCAGAGTAGGAATAAATGGCCTCTCTGTGTGAAAGGATTAAACAAATCACATGAGTTAATGAAAGGTAAAAAATTTAGGAAAAGTTTAAATTCCATTTGTTCAAGAATAAATTATACAGAAGCAGCAAACATCATGACATGAGGAGGTAAGCTGTCACCACGCAAGGAGGTTGTGTCTTGCGTAACTCTGGATGGTGGAATGAAGAACCACAAAGGAGGCAAAACTTGCCTCTAGGTTTCCCGGGGTGTACTGTGCTTAATTCAGGCACTCAATACCACCAAGTCACCTCAGGCTCCAGAAAAAGTGAATTCTTGTCTGCATATATGATTCCCTGTCACAAGAATGTAAACCCAATTTCTTCTTCTTATGGAAGGTTCTTCTCTCGGCATTATTAAAGGTTTAAATATGAGGTTAGGGATAAAACATAATTAGCACTCTGAGCTTAATTACTAGTGTGCAACAATTAGTACTGATAAGTTTTTGTTTTGTTTAGTACTTTTATTTTTAAAGTAAATGAACAAACCAGAGCTTTTCAAATTCAAATTAGGGCAAGAAAAGATTAAAAAAAAAAAAAAAAAATTCTGGAAAAGCTTAAAATTCCTTGGTCTTCCAGTTAAAGGAAATCCTAACGTCATGGGCTGAAATCTTAACACTGAAGTATCAAACTTCTTAAATGAATGTCCAGCTTCTGGGTTTGGAACATCCAAATGGGATCTGAACATCTATAGCAGCGGAAAGTGGCAGGCCACAAGAATGTTTCTGCCAGGTGTTTCTTAGGGCCCTTTCTACAAATATTACAAGAAGGGAGTGATATATTGGTCTTTAGAAAATTTTCTGAGAGGGGCGCCTGGGTGGTTCAGTCAGCTGAGCGGCTGCCTTGGGCTCAGGTCATGACCTCAGGGTCCTGGGATGGAGCCCCACATGGGACTCCCTGCTCAACAGGGAACCTGCTTCTCCCTCTCCTCCCTGCTTGTGCTCTCTCTCATGATCTTTCTCTCTCAAATAAATAAAATCTTAAAAAAATAAAAATTAAAAATTAAAAAAAAAAAAAGAAAATTTTCTGAGAGAAATACCAGCTGGTTTGTTTCAGAGTTTTTACCACCCATCCCTCCGAGGGCGCAATCTAAGACAGTAAGTTTGGGTTCTGTTTTTAAGGAGGGGATCCCACTAGCATACACTTCAGGTTCTCTGACGAGGAATGACACGATGCAGAGCAGTCTCCCTGCACAGCCTTACCGGATGGGATTTGGGGGAGGCGGGGGGAGCGGCGGTGGAGGTGGAGGTGGTGGAGGTACGCAATTCTCAGACTGGTTCACCCGTTTCTGGAGTTCATCAACTGCATAGAGAACAAGCATTCAGAAAGAAGCCGAAACAAGCCACTTAGCACCTTTTACACACATAAAGGGAAAAAAAAAAAGTAACCTCTCTCAAAATCAAGTTCATGGTATTAAGGCAAAGTTAGAAATCTCAGGATGAAACTGCAGAACATCTCAGCCTTTTCATCATCCAGGCTGCGACCACTAATGCAAGAGGGGCCTGACATAGGTTACAAGAAAACGTTACTGTCTTGTGGCTGCATGTACAACTATGGAAAAGAAAAATAATTCAGGACAACGGCTGGATGGGTGGGAGGTAAGGATTGAGTAGGCTGAAGAAATATTTGTTAACAATGGCATGTATTACTCAAAACACTAAGAAATTGTGAATACTTGACTTTTAAAGGGTATAGACAAGGAATTAATTTTTAAAGATGACATTTAGTAATGAATTTTAATAACATACTTTCCTCCTCCACCTAATTTCCTTCAAAAATTGCAAATCCTGGAGTTCTTGGTTTTAACCAGACTCAGACTCTCAAATGTCTGTAACTTCAGAAACCTTTTGCTCTTCTGAAGGAGCATTCTGGAAACAGAATTTATCCATTCAATTCATTCATGTCCTTAATGAAGCAGGTATTTTGGCACCAATAATGGGAAAGGGTCTATGCTTGGTGCTGTTCAAGACACAGTTTCTGAGTTCAAGGAGCTCGATTTCAATGTTTATTGCAGATGCGAATACCTCTAAGACGGGCTCCAATAGGCTCTAGGTACTGAACACTGTGTGTACTCAGGAATGGCTCCCCCTTCCCCAGCCACTCCTCTCTCCATGAATGACTGCACCCCCAATGATCTGCCTGTTTATTTCTACTCTCAACACTTAAATAAGCAGTGTGGGCTCTCTCTCTGAGGGCCAAGAGTCCTCTAGTTATTCATATGTATGGGTCTGTCTCTCCAAAGAGAGTTTGAGTTCCTCAAGGACAAAAGGCATGGTTTCTTTTCTTCTAGATTTCTTATAGTATCCTAGGGTATGGCTGGCTATGCACACAGCAGATACTAAATAAAACATACTCAACACTAAATCTCAGGTTCTCTTTTGTGTCTGCCCCCTCCGTAAATAAAAAAGATGGCTTCGGCCACAGGCTGCCTGGATATTCACTTAAAAAGAATGGAACACTTCTTAATTTTAGATGAGTTTTTTAAAAAGTAAATTGCAAGTCATTTTCATTGTGGGTTAGAAAGCACTGAATGTTTTTTTTAAAGGGAAAAAAAAGCCTGCTTGGTTCTTCTATACGGATTTCAAAATTCTAGTATAAAATTAACCAAAAATACCTCAAGTGAATATTGAAGCTGTTATAAAAGGGAACAACCTGCCTCCTTAAATCACCTACCTTCCAACAGAAACTTATTACTTATCCCTGTGTAATAATCTAATTCACACATTCCTGTCAAGCCTTCTGGAACTGAATGAATAAATCCTTTGATCTAAATATCCCCTGGTGTTTTAAAAGTTTTTCCACTTAATATACATATTGTTGCCCATTTTATTGTTAGGTGTGACATTGAAAGTATTAGTTCATGCGTGTAATTATACCACAGATGAGGGTTGTATGAACCTTAAAAGTTTAATTCTTTTTAAAAACGCACCCTAAGGGTCGCCTGGGTGGCTCAGTTGGGCAAGCAACAGACTCTTAATTTTGGCTCAGGTCATGATCTCAGGGTCATGAGATCAAGCCCCACATCGGGATCTGCATTGGGTGTGGAGCCTGCTTAGGATTTTCTCTCTCTCCTGCCCCTCCCCTACAGCCCCATTGGCTCGCATGCTCTCTCTCTCTAAAAAAGGAAAGGGGGAAAAAAAAACCCTCCCTAAAATGAACAAAATAAGTACTCAATGAATACACCTGTCCTATCAGAAGCCCTGAGAAATGCTGAAATGTTGGTCTTCTCAGATTAGCAGTATCTTTGTCTCTTCATTCTGTATGGGAAGCTCACACATGCTCTGACTCCACAAAGAAGTCGAAGTGCTTGTGAATCCCTGGAGTACAGTGGCCATTCTACTGAACTGATCTTGGTATTTCTGTATAGCATTCAGCAAGTGTTCTGGACTAGCTACGGGCCAGGCGGGCACGCGGAATTCACAGATGACTCAGACACAGCAGCCCACTGGACACTTACTGGAATGCTTTAAATCTCTGGCTTTCTCCTCCGAATTCTGGTATTTCAATTCCAATTCTCTTTTATCCTCTTCCAGAAGCCCCAGCTGCTGTTTGAGGCTGCGAATCTCTCTGTGGAGTGCTGCATTTTCTAGCTGCTCTTCTAAGTCTTTCACCTGTAATTCACAAACAGACTTCTGTAGCTTTTCCTTTGTCAAGGAAAAATAAAGCGGGGAAAATCAGTTTCCCTTTACTTTGCATTTCATAGCAAAGAGATACCAATCCATCTTAAAAACCACACAAATTCTGGAGTATAGACGATACTTAAAATACCAGCTATTTAAGTCAATATAAATTTATTGCAGACTTAATGTCTCAGATAATTAGGTGTTGAAACATGGGTCAAAAAGGTAAAATAATATCTAAGAAATTCATGTAAAACAGATTATTAGCTTCGTACCTGTTTTTAAGAGAAAATTCAGGTAGCATGATAAAGAACCCTTGGGGCGGACAATTTGGTAACAAGTCAAAGACCTTAAAAACAAGAAAGAAGAAAGAAAAGGGAAAGGAAAAGGAAAAGGAAGACCGCTTGATTTAGAAATACTACTTTTAGAACTTGCTTTAAAGAAATAGTAAAGGGGTGCCTAGGTGGCTCAGTTGGTTAAGCAACCGATGTTTCTTGATTTCATCTCAGGGTCGTGAGATCGAGCCCGTATGGAGCCTGCTTAAGATTCTCTCTTTCCCTCACCCTCTGCCCCTCCTCCACTATGCTCAAACACTTGCTCTCTCCAAAAAAAGAAAGAAATAGTAAGACAAGTATTCACATATATTCATACAGTATTCTTCATAACAGGAAAGAACTGAAAATAACTTAAATATTCACCAATATTATGTATTTAATAAATCATGCTGTGTTCACTAACTGAAATACTATACAACCATTTAAAATCACATAGTTGGGATGCCCGGGTGGTGTAGTTGGTTGAGAATTCGACTCAGTTCATGATCTCAGGGTTGTGAGACTGAGCCCCACATAGGGCTTCAGGCTCAGCATGGAGTCTGCTTGAGATTCTCCCTCTGCCCCTCCACCTGTGCTCTCTTTCTCTAAAATAAATAAGTCTTTTTAAAAAATTAAAATAAAATCACAAAGCTCACTACATGCTGACATGGAACAAGATATTACCAACTGAAAACAAATCAGGCTATAGAATAGTATGCATGGTATGATCCCGTTTAAACTACATTCATAAAATTATCCACTTGCGTAAAGTTTGCATAGGTACCAAGATACGGAATTCTTGGATAATCTTAATTTCTTCTTTAACTTGTACTGTATTTTAAAACATTTGTTTATTAGAAGAAGCATATGTTGCTTTTATCACCATGGAAACAACATAGTGTTTATTTTTTTTTTTTTTAAGATTTATTTATTTATTTGAGAGAAAGGGTGAGAGAGAGAGAGCACAAGAGGGGGTAGGGTCAGAGGGAGAAGCAGACTCCCCGCCGAGCAGGGAGCCCGATGCGGGACTCGATCCCAGGACTCCGGGATCATGACCTGAGCCGAAGACAGTTGCTTAACCAACTGAGGCACCCAGGCGCCCCAACGCAGTGTTTAAAAGACAGAGAATCTGCAGGGGAATTTACAGATAGGTAAGAATTATTTAGGACCACACACATGAAAGATTACACAGAACAACTGTATAGTACAGTAGAACAGTCTTAGAAGTACTGAGTAGCAATCCGTGAAGTTTAGCTAATCTTCAGTATCAGCTTCTCTCTCCTACCCCAACAAGGTCCATATCCAATGACTGAGTCCCACACCTCAGTGCAATTCAGTAGGTTCTAGGCCTATGTTATTTACTAAACGGGTTAACCATACAACTAATAAGACTTTTCAGAACTGAAAAATTCTAGCATGAGCTAAATAAAAATAAATATTCCTTTATTCTCTCTTTTTTGAAATGGTAATTCTTGCATGTGGGGAAGGAAGGAAGGAAGGGAGGAAGGGAGGGAGGGAGGGAGGGAGGGAGGGAGGAAGGAAGGAAGGAAGGAAGGAAGGAAGAAAGGAAGGAGAAATTCTCTCCTCCCTAGTCTATTCCCCTAGTCCTCCTTCCAGGGGCAATCACTGCTACCATTTACTCATCTGGAGGTTCTGAACATACACCAACATTTCTTATAGAGGATTAAAAAAAAAAAAAAAATCAGCTCTGCCTCAGGACCAGCTTTGTAAAAACTTCAGAAACTTCCAAGGACTAAATGTCAATATTATTGTTTAAAGAGACTTTGACAGGTGATAATAAATAGCAGCTAACAGCCTTTTCTTCACAAATGAGGTACACTGTAAGTAGTATAAACATTGATGTAATTTTTCTTAAGTGGTTTCTTTAACTTCAAAGTCTTTGTTCAACCTCTTTGCCCCCCCCCCCCCTTCCCGCCTCCTCTCTCTCACCTACTGTGATGACTATCTTTTCTGCCTGGCACACAAAGGTGGGCTGTGTCAGCTGGAATAGCTCCACTCAAACAAAATAAAATAACCACTTAAGAAGTCTTTAAACATATACATTTGTGCAAGTTTACAAAATCACAAATTTTCTCTAAGCAAAGAATTACTACTAACATGGACTTCTCCTCCCTCTTTGAATAAAACCTGTGCCTTCCAGTAAGTTCTCTGAGACTAATGTACTCTCCCAGTGTATGCGGTCTCCAAAAATACAATCAACTCACAGGTGTCCCACCTGCGCATTATGTGCACATATACAAGCTCTTTTTGAGTTCTCGCTCTTACCTTTGCTTTTTCCGGCCTTTGGACAGGTTAAAGATCATTATGACTTCTACGACAGTGTGCTATAAATTTTACTTGGGCACGAAATTAAGTTCATTCAGTAGTTACTTTTTACTAAAAAGTAAAAAGACAGGAAAGACTTACTAAGGCCAACTAGGGAGCTGTAAGTGACTGGATTGAGCCCTCTCATGTTTGTGTGTATGTATTAAGACGCCAGAAGAAAATCTGTTACCTTTTTCTGATGCTGAATTCGCTCTTCTTCAAGTTGCTGGATGAGTTTTGCATTTTCTTCTAAAGCTTTCAAAAGCTGCTGGTCAGGAGCAGAGCTCTGCAGCAGAAGGTGGCTTTGTCTCTTTAGCTTGTTCTGTTCAATGAACATCTGCAAGAGTTAATTACAAAAATGTACATACCAATCAATCTCACGTATCTCCTCAACTGAAAGTGGAGCAACAGGAAAGTACGTGGAGTTTTTATTGAAAAGTTAAGGGCAGTTTCTGAATTGTACAGTATTACAGTTTTAGAAGTAATGATTGCTATGATTTCATCCGTAACTTTCATGCACTCTTCCAAGAATCTTCACCCTTGCCCCAACGAGGTATATATGCAATAATTGAGTCCTATACCTCAGTTTTTAATGTTTTATTATTGCTTTAAAATACACGAATACTAATAGTACTGGTTAATATTGATCAAGAACTTATCTTATGCCAGGTACTCTACTAAATATTTTATATGTATTATTTTAATCCATACATCAATCCTGTGAATTCTTCTGCTTTGAATAGCTAAAATTGACTAACACTATGTGATAGTGCTGATGATTTTCCATATATCACATCATCTAATCCCTAGAATAACACTGTCAAGTAGATATTATTATTATCCCATTTTTATTAATAAGGTAAGTGAGGTCCAAAGCGGTTAAGCAACTTTCCCAAGAACACATGAAAGTGGCGAGACCAGGAATATAAACCAAGATCTGATTTAGAAGCCCAAGCTCTTAACCACCTGGCTAATCTCCTTCCTCTGGTATTTACTAAACCTAGTGTTTTGTTTTATACCAACTAGCTTTTCCCCAGTGATGAAAGTAGTTAACAGCCAGGAGGGTAAAGAAGAGAGGGGAAAAGGTACATCAATATTTATTGGCCACTTTATTAAGCAACTTACATATATTATTCATTTAGTCTTTCCAAGTTCACATTTTTTAATACAACATTATTTTCTATTAACCTGTTACTTCTTTTCCTTAATACCCTACACAAGTTAGCCAGTGGGTGATTCTACACATGAAATGTTTTATAAACTCTGACATTAGGCCCATTTTATATTAGACCTTCACAGTTTCAGATTCTTAACAGCATTTTAAAGGAAGATTTACATTCTTCTTCCACCTGACAGCTCATTTCTGTGTAAGAATGAAAGGTGCTGCGAAAGCACGAGGGAATGAGTGTGCGTGTGCGTGCACAGCTGCTGAGCTCGAGGACAGTGAGAATGCAAGCAACAACATGCTAGGGAAGAGTCATCCATACCTCACGCATATCTCATCTAGTCTCTGACATCTGAAACCAATGGCATAACTGAAATGAGCCATTCTGAGTTACTATTATTATTACGGTCATTTTTTAAAATACCTTTTCCCCCTCTTACAACTTAACTTGGTTGGGGTCCCTTGCCAATGTCTTAGCAAATGCCTTAGGGAGCCAACAAGAAGACCTGCAAAGAGCAGCTGGACTCAGTGAGTCCTTTGGCTTCCTGGCAAGTGAGGCCTTTCCCCAAGAGTGCTCGGAGGCCAGGAGCAGGGAGAGAGGCAGCCGTCAGTGTGGCGACCAGGTCAGACTGTGAACTCAGCGGTCAAGCAGTGTGGGGCACAGGCCACCGTCAGTCAGGGTGCGGCTGTGTCCCTCACTGCACTGCTTCTCCGAGCTTCGGTTCGCTCTTGGGAAAAAGCAACAGTTCTCCTTCTCTACAAAGCACTCGGGAAAACTTGTTCAACTTTACATGATTATGAATTATCTCAACTTGGTTATTTTTTTTTTTTTTAAAGATTTTATTTATTTGACAGAGAGAGACACAGTGAGAGAAGAACACAAGCACGGGGAGTGGGAAAGGGAGAAGCAGGCTTCCCGCGGAGCAGGGAGCCCGATGTGGGGCTCGATCCCAGGACCCCGGGATCATGACCTGAGCCGAAGGCAGACACTTAACGACTGAGCCACCCAGGCGCCCCTCAACTTGGTTATTTTAGAAAGAAAAAGAGTGAACATTATGTCTTGGGGATGTTAGTCATGTGAATTTCTTTTGCAAAACCTTGTAACAATTCCTAAATAGTAATAGAATAAGATGAAAAGAACATATAGGAAAGAAATTCCTCTAGATAACCATGTAACTTGAAAAACTTATTCATTAGACTACGTTTTCTAGACCTTAAGACACTAACATGAAATATTCTATATAGTGCCTTCTAAAGATGTGCTTAAAAAAAAATTTAGTGACCAAACACTGATGAATTTGGCTTTGAACTATGATAAGAACCTGACAGCTAGGGTTAGGGAGGTGGTCTCTTATCACACAAATGACATCATGGCTGTCAGACTTTCCAAGGATTATCATAAATCTTTTCAAAGAATGAAAAAGAGAAGAAAAGCTTATGTCACTTCTATAGGATTCATTCTTTCCAAAAGAATATTAAAATGTCATCTGTGTTGTCTGAGAAGAAAACAGAACTCATTACAAAACAGTCTCACAGTATATCCAGACTACACATTGAATGAGGCAGCCACGCCTTTAAACAAAGAACTACACTGACCAACAAGAAAAAAATATTCTAAAAGTATAGGAAAATTTGTCATTGAAAATTGAAGTTACATTGAAGAACTACAAAAAGTTAACACAGGAAGACAACTGGCTGTTTCCTCCTTATTGAGGGAGGAGGAGTACAGTTTTTGTTTTGTTTTTCATGGTGCCTTTTTTTTTTTCCACCCATTTTTCCAGTCCCCTTACCCTCCCCTCTGGCAACCACCAGTTTGTTTTCCGTTTTGGTGGGTCTGTTTCTGCTTTTTGTTTGATCTAGTTTGTTTTTTAGATTCCACAGAGAGGCAAAATCATACGGTATTTGTCTTTCTCGGACTTATTTCACTTAGCCTAATACCCTCTAGGTCTACCCATGCTATCGCAAAAGGGAAAGATCTCATTCTTCTTTATGGCTGAGTAATATTCCTGTGTGTGTGTGTGTGTGTGTACTTGCACATGCATGTGTTTTTGCTTTTTATTTTTTTTTAAAGATTTTATTTATTTATTTGACAGAGACATAGCGAGAGAGGGAACACAAGCAGGGGGAGTGGGAGAGGGAGAAGCAGGCTTCCCGCGGAGCAGAGAGCCCAATGCGGGGCTTGATCCCAGGACCCTAGGATCATGACCCGAGCCAAAGGCACACGCTGAATGACTGAACCACCCAGATGCCCCACGTTTTCGCTTTTTAAATTTTTTTTTTTTTTAAGATTTTATTTATTTGTGAGAGAGAGAATGAGAGACAGAGAGCATGAGAGGGAGGAGGGTCAGAGGGAGAAGCAGACTCCCTGCCGAGCAGGGAGCCCGATGCGGGACTCGATCCCGGGACTCCAGGACCATGACCTGAGCCGAAGGCAGTCGCTTAACCAACTGAGCCACCCAGGCGCCCACGTTTTCGCTTTTTAAATGGACAAGTGGAAGCAGGAGTGTGGGAGAAACTTTCCATGTTTCCCTTTACACATTTGAGAACTGTTTGTATTTTTTACAAGGTATAAACATTCCTTTTCTAATTAAAAATATAAAGTAAATTAACTTTATTGAATTCTAAGGCTCCAGACTCTAAGCTCCAAAGAGGCAGGGATCATGGTTGCATTCTTCACCATTATATTCCCGCCAACAGCACAGTGTCTGGCTAACGAAGATGTCTGCCGAACACATGAAAAACCAAAATGCAGAAGACTGGCACTTCTCTTGTAAAGCCAAGACCTACACCTTTAAGCAGCAGTTCTCTGTTGGAAAGCTCAGAGTCGGGGCACCTGGGCGGCTCAGACGGTTAAGCACGTGACGCTTCTTGGTTTCCACTCAGGTCATGATCTCATCCGCCAGGAGGCTGCGGGAGTTTCCCTGTGCCCCTCCCCCCCACTCACGCGCATGCTCTCTCTCTCTCTCTCAAATAAATGAATAAAAAGCTAAGAATCTGTAAACCACGCAAAGGGGAAAGTATATGGGTTCTACTCTAACTTTATTCGAAAGAACAGTTTCTGGGGTGCCTGGCTGGCACAGTCTGTAGAATATGCAACTCCAGATCTTGGGGTTGTAGGTTCAAGCTCCACACTGAGCGTCGCGATTACTTAAAAAAAAAAAGAAAAAAATCTTAAAAAAAACCCAAACCAACAGTTTCCTTCTATTGAGTAGATGGCATCTAGATACTGTAAAACCATCCAGCACGGCTGCAAACCCCGATGCTCCCGGTAGGAGGAGTGCGAGCGGCTGCCCCGGCTTCCCCTCCTCAAGCCGCCTCTGTCGCCTCAGGCGGGGCCACGTGTCCGCCTCGTCCGGTCGGGCGGGGCCACGTGTCCGCCTCGTCCGGTCGGGCGGGGTCACGTGTCCGCCTCGTCCGGTCGGGCGGGGTCACGTGTCCGCCTCGCCGTTTCCGCCGAGCACTAGCAGGTGAAGGGCAGAGTCAGTCACTCGTTTTCAGAATCTTAGCGGAATCCTGCTTCTTCGGTCAATCTTGTCTGCTACCGCATGGCCCTCGAGTTTTCTTCGAGCTGTTTTGTATTCTAACATCAGTCCACGAACAACAAACAGATGGAAAACTGAAAATGTCTCTCAAAATAAGGCCCTGGCATTTGGGTCAAAACAAGCCCACCTTTTCAGTTTTACAGCGGAAGCATCTTCACATTATCCCCAGTCTCCCTCCCCCTCGACTGTTTATATCGCTGCAGCTTTTCCAAGCGGCTGTGACACACTTCAGTTTTTTTTTTCTTTCTCCCAAGTAATAAGAGAACAATTTTACTCACCTTTCATTAAACTCTCTGAATAAAGTGAATCAGAATATTTCAAATCACATCTTCTTGGACTAAACCTTTCACAGAGTTCATTGCTAGCACAGCTACATTCACGCGCAGAAGGACTCCTGCACAAAACCGTAATCTGATTTTCAAATGTCATTCCCGTAACCCCACGCTTTGTCTTCCTTCAGCACCTTGGATACTTCTGCCTACCAACGTTCTACGTTTCCTTAACTACCTTCCTCCACAACCTACAGTGTGCACCCAGATTCAAAATCCTGAGACACGATGGAAATCTCGGGCAGACCAGCAGCCCGTCATAAGCCGTTACAGCTCGGCCAACTGGTACCTCATCATTTCCCTGTAAACCAGCCCTGGGGCCACAGAATACCCAGCGACACGTCAGCAAAGGGAAGCCGGAACATGAGAAGCCCAGAGCTTATCTCTGACATGTGATTTGGTGAAAGGCTACAATGATGGATGTACAACATGGCAATGTTCCACAGCTAGTGGAAAAATCAACTCGCGTAATGAGATCACCGTCTAGCAGGTGAAGAGAAATACTAACCCCATGATACTGTTATTTGAGAAGGTATTTGGAGATGTAACCTGGATTCCTAAGGCTACTGAAACAGACAGAAATCCTGTACTTGAGCTGGACTTTCCATCACAAGTGACAGGTATCCCTAAATATAATTTCTTTCCCCTATAACAGCATTTTATAGTACAAAATCCTTTTGCAGAATTGTGCCATTGGATTTCAAAATCTACTTGGTTGGGCTCGTAGTATCACCCATTTTACAGATGGTGAAAGTGAAGCCCCAAGGAGGCTAAGGGGCTGGCTGCTCTCAGGTCATACAATGAGTGACTGACTGACATGGCCAAAATTTGAACCCAGATCTTTTAACACCTGTTGTAGTGAACCTCACACTATCCCATAGCTGGCCTCCCTTAATTCTAAGTGGTAAGTTCTTATTCAACTTCAAAACATATTTCGACATGTCATCTGTAAAGTTCTTTAAGAAATACAAATTTAAAACTAGGTCTCTGTGGATACTTACCTCCTGTGCAAATGACTCCGCCTTCTTTCGAAGGTCCTTCTCCAGTTCCAAGTTTACCTGCATTTCCTCATACTCTTCTACCGCTAGCATGGACACTTAGGAAGACAAGGAAAAGAAATGGACAAAGTGCCACACAGACAGTCAGGAATACGGATGAAAAACAATGTTGAAAAGATTCTTTGTACCAGTATACAAGCACCCTCAGCCATTGCTGGTTGAAATATAAATGGATTGAACCTTTTTGGAGGGCAGCTCAGCAATGTGAATCAAAAATCTAAAGCCATTCATACCCTCTGACTCCACAATTCTGCTTTTAGGAATGTACTGATTCCCCCAAGAGAATAAATCATGAACACATCCAGCAATAAAGCTGCAAGAACACTCTCAGCATCGCTGCTGAAAACAGTGAAATGATCCAGATGGTCTCACATGGCAGACCCAGGAAAGTACGGTATATACAAGAAACATGATTCTGCTTTCGAAATGACACTGTAGAAGCATATTTATGGAACCAAAAGATATATTTTTTAAATGACTTCATTTCTGTTTTTTACAAGCTGCATAAAAACACATCGCCGAGGTACTTCACCGAAGAGGAAACGTATGAAAGGCCAGTGAATGTGCGGAAAGATACTCTTCTTCATTAGTAATCAGAGAAATGGAAAGTAAAAACACAGGCACCTTTTTAGACTCACCAAAGAGGGAACTGGCAAAAATCAAGAAGTAGAGTTACACCAAGTTTGGAGAGGATACAGAACAATGGAACAAACACACTGCTAACAGGAGTTGAAATCTACCCAAAAGATAATCTGGCATTGTACTGACGTTGAAGATAAACTTTTACATTTGGCATGTTATCTTAGGGCACATGTACCAGGAGACGCATATAAGAATTTTCATAACTGCAGGACTTGGAAGAGCAAAAAACTGGAAAAAACTCAAACAGCCACCGACACGATACTGGATCCATGAATTCTGGGATAGACATTGAATGACATACTATCCAGCGGTGAAAGTCAACATACCAGAGCAAAGCCCTTTAACAGGGATAGACCTCACAAACAAGAAATTGCACAGGGACATATGCAAGGTGACAGAATTAATATAAAGTTCAAAAACATACAAAATTAAGCAACATGCTATTTAGAGATATATACATACTTGGTAGTACTAGAAATAAAAGCAATGATAAAAATCCAAGGGAGGGGATACAAGTGGAGATTGATATTCAGGGGCTTGTAAGGTGTCAATGGGTAAAGAGGTATTTCTTTCGCTGATATTTTTTTAGCTTCCACAAATGTTATAAACACATTTAACAAACAATTTAATGTATATATATATATGGTTTTCTTAAGGTTGGAAGAATATACATGATGTTAATAGTGCTTATCTTTGGGCTCTAAAGATTGAGATTTTTTTTTTTCCTTTTCCTATTTGAATCTATGTTTTCCACCAAAAAAGTGTATTACCTGAATAAAAAGAAAATATATATATACACACAAGCTGCATACAAAACACGTCGATGAGGCATTTCACAGAAAAGGAAACATGTGAAAGGTTATATATAAATGTTATTTTTAACCGTCCTCCATGTTTACAAAGAGAAACAGCCTTAGATCCATTCAGGCCCAGACTCAGAGCTCTGAATTAAAGAATTAGGACAGAAATCTTTAAAGGGAAGGTCCTGTCAAATAGTAGCAACACAAAATCTTTGCTACTTTTTGACATTCTGTGGCCTGTTTTCTTAAATAATGATATAGACAGGACCAAGGGAGTGATGACGCCATTAGAAATTAGACACAACACAGGTTGGTATCACACTGGTCTCTCCATCTGCTTCTACAGAGGCACTTTCAATCCTGAGCTGAGTCATATCAATAAAATCTTTAAAAAGGCGCTCTTAATGGCTGCTTTCACACAATGTTCCGCCAGGACACTTCAGTCCTAACTGACTAAGGACTGGTTTGCTATGTAATGACATAGAATTTCAAGCTCTGTACTCTGTAAATCTACTGCCTTCTCAGAGGAAAGACGAATAGTCTTACTCCAGTAAAGCAATATAAGTGGTGGTTTGTGATGTGAATTATAGGTCCCTGAGAGCCAAATGATTTCAAACCTATTTAAAAAAGAAATTTCGCAAAGAAAACAAAGACGACTATGACTCTCTGAAGGCCCTGGGCAACATAATTGACTCTCTTTTCTAAGTCCAGAACACCATAATAAAAAGTGAGTTTTCACATGTCCTGGCCCTTTTGACTTGGATTCTGAAAGAAATTAGGTTGGTCCTCATCATGCATTTATTTATATGATCTCCCTCTTCCTAGAGAGAGGGCTCTCTGAAGGCAAGATCCACGTGATTAACCTTTGTAGAACCCTCTGTTTCTAGCACAGTACATCAAGACCGTTTCTATCTTCTTAAATGTGGAAGGAGCTGAGAAATGTCACAATCTACCGTATCTCCCACACTGAACTACGAGGTCCTTTATTTATTCAAAAATCTCAATTCATCACCCAAAGGTGGAGAACTACCACCAATGACAACAGGGAAGGCTTGAAGATTTCCTGCACTCTGGCATCACTCCCTTGTCCTGCACCAGGGGATGCAAAAACACAGCGCCCATGGGACATGATGCTGTGTTTTACAACAAGGATTCCGTTTTCTCTAGAGGTAGCCTTTGGAGAAATTTCCTTCTCACCATGAGACCAGGTCTGCCTCTCATGACCAAGAGGATCATTTTCGTATGATTCGTATAAATGATCGTGAATCTCTCATCATGCTGGCCGCTAGACAGCTCAGAGCCAGAACTTGACTGCACACGGACAGGAATGCACAAGACCTGACAGCAAGCACGCAACCTTGTATAGCAATATTTAATTTTACTTTCGCTTTGCCCTATTTTCTATATTCTCTTAATTTAAAATTTTTTCATATCATGTTGTATGTATCTGTGTAGATATCCTCTCTTCTGGATTAAAAATAACCTACCAAATACACAAATACTGAGAGGAGAGCCAATATGGCCTTTGTCCCAGGATACATGTAGACAGAACAGTGTTTTGGTTTGAAATGGGTCGGAAGTTCCTCAAGTGAAAGCACTTTTAGAAGTCCCAAGACTCTAAGGTGAATGATAAAATAACCGGGAAGAGAGAGACTCGTGGTGAGAAATCAGGAAAACCAAGATAGGATATTCTTGCTATAAGACTCTTTAGACACAGGTACGAAACAACACAAAATGTATGCAAACCAAATAAATTACATATGTATCTGAGAAAAAAGACTGGAGACACCTACCTCTATTGCATTTTTCTAAGACTCTTCTCTGTTCAAGAACTTCTGAGTTTAAAAGATCTTTTTCTTGTTTAACTTTATTTACCTAAAAAAATGTGAGATTGTGAGAGAAGAAAACACACAACACTGTAAAACATGACATAAGGTGATGTGTGATAAACTGCTGTTCAACAGTCACATGAAGTTATAATTTAAAGCAGTAATTGGCTTTACTGTGTTGGGATTTTATTAAAGTTGTTCTTAAGGCCTCAAAGGTAGCTATTTAAGTTAGGATATACCGTTGATAGAGAACTTCTTTACAAATTCCAAATAGCACTACTCCCTACCCATGTAAATGGTATTTTTAAGGCAAAAATCCAACTAGAAAACACCCAGACAATAGACAAATCATATAGTCAGAGAACTCTGATGACATTTAAATTAAGGAAAAAATACATCAATTTTTTTAATAAAAAATACTTTAAACTTTGATGACTTCTGGCTTAAATAAAACACACATGGGGCGCCTGGGTGGCTCAGTCGTTAAGCGTCTGCCTTCGGCTCAGGTCATGATCCCAGGGTCCTGGGATCGAGTCCCACATCGGGCTCCCTCCTCAGGGGGAGGCCTGCTTCTCCCTCTCCCCCTCCCGCTGCTTGTGTTCCTGCTCTCGCTCTCGCTATCTCTGTCTCTGTCAAATAAATAAATAAAATCTTTAAAAAAAAATAAAAATAAAAAAAAAATAAAATAAAACACACATGAAAATCTTCCCAAAAAACTTACATTTCCGAGATAATTTTGACATCAATCAATTGGAAGAGACTATCATAGGACCATTTAAAAAAAGAATGCAAAGTTACATATATCAAAGTGGATAAATCTCAAATGCACTATGCTGAATTTTAAAAAGCAGATACAGGGGTGCCCGGCTGGCTCAGTCAGTGGAGTATGATCTCAGGTCATGAGTTCTAGCCCCACGTTGCGCATGGAGCCTACTTAAAATAAAAATTAAAAAAAAATAAAAATAAAAGCAGGTACATTTACATCATTTAAAAACACTCAAAATACTATGTATTGTAGCAAAAAATATAAATACATGCATTGGAATGATAAAAGCCAAATTCAGAATAATGGTTGTGTAGGAAAATGGGGCAGGGAGTGAGGGGAATGCAGTTAGGGAGAGAGACACTGGGGTTTTCAGGACTATGTATTAAGCTAGGTGGTAGATATATGGGTGTTTTTAATACTTTCCACATGTCTGAAATAGTCATAATAAAAATAACTGAAAGGGCTTCTAAGAACACCTCTAAGTGGGAGGGGAACAGGATCATCAGTAAATAATCATAATGGAGGAAGACAGTGCATCAAAATGTGTTTGTCTCTCTACAACGGTTACAGTCAAGAAACAAACTAAGGGGCGCCTGGGTGGCTCAGTTGGTTAAGCGACTGCCTTCGGCTCAGGTCATGATCCTGGAGTCCCTGAATCAAGTCCCGCATTGGGCTCCCTGCTCGGCAGGGAGTCTGCTTCTCCCTCTGACCCTTCCCCCTCTCATGTGCTCTCTCATAATTCTCCCTCTCTCAAAATAAATAAATAAAATCTTAAAAAAAAAAAAAAAAAGAAACAAACAAACAAACAAAGATAATGGTCCTGGAAAAGGACTCTGAATCCATCGGCATGCCAGAGAGCCTATGAACTGGATGCTTTTAGGATAAGCTCTATTTTTGGTTTCGGTTTGAATTCATAACTGGTATACACTCTCCAACAGGAATGCCACCTCCAAAATAGCATCATCCTTCTTCCCATTCATCAGTATGTTCTGCCACGGTAAGTAAATGTGAGCAAGGCTGTAATTGGTGGACACCATCTCCCAACCTTTTTCGCATTCTGGCCCTTACAAAAACTGTCAGATAGGTATGCAAACTGAGGTAGCTGGGTAAGGCTGCCCACTGAAGGGACCGACTCCTCGATTCCTCAGCATTACTCGTAAGCCGCCTGAGGGATGGGTCTAGAAGCTTGGGCTGTAGAATCTGGGAACCACTGACATATGTTAAGTCACGATTGCAAAGGCAGTTCCTCAAAGCATCATGCACAGAAAGGCAATTATGTGCTCCTGTTCTTAAAGACTATTCAAAAGGAAAAATAAAAAGATTCTTAAACACCCACTTGAACCCATTCTGCCATCTATCACATACACTTATGTTGGAAGGATACAAGAGGACAGCCATTCCCAACCGAGCCAAACTGTCTGATAGAGAAGCCAAATACTTCTTCACCAGCAACAATAAAGCAGATGACGTAAACTGCAGATATCATTCTTACAAATCCGCCTCCCATAGTGAAATATGGGAAACAACGGGGACACTTCATTGCTATTTTGGTGCTTTACTTACTGAGCTAGGTATTGAGTATACAAATGTCCGTGATCTTATGTTCTACACCTTTTGTATATTTGAAACAGGGGGTAGAAGAGAAGATAAAAATTGGTACATGGTTCTCACGCCTGAAATCAACTTCCAACAGCAAGTTTTTAACGTAGCCAGTCTCCAAACACCCTGAAAACACCAGAAGTCTTGCCTTTCAGGCCTAAGATACATACTTCTTCAATTACTTCTACAAGTTTGCTCTTTAGATTTTCCAGTTCAATCGCTAATATCTTCTTCTCCTCCTGAACAGATACAATTTGATCTCGAAGTTCTGCATTTTTAAAGAAAAAATAAGGGGAGGGAAACAATATAAATAAACATTTCTTTAATCTAAATTCAATTAGCGAACTTATAGTACATCATTAGTTTCAGATGTAGTAACTTTTTTAAACTTATTTTTAAAAGAAGAAATCAATCTTGTCAAAAGAACTGAAAAATGCCAGTCCATGTGTAACTTACGGTCAAGATTATTTAACAGCTAAAACGAAAATAAAGAAGCAGAGAATGATGGAAATCTCACTTCTGTGCCCCTGTATACAGCCACAGTTATTAATAATTTTATATCATGCAATCTCACTGTGTTATTAAATGTACCAGATCATGTTTTCTTTGCATGCTATCAAACCCATATTTTAGAAAACTACCTGGGATTTTAGAAGTAAAATTTTTTAAGATTTCAGCAAAACAAATTAAGGCATAGTACCAATTTCCTTTTTCTTTTAAAATGGCATGGATTCTTGTCACAATAAAATATAACAAACAAATGGGGCAGTTGATAATTTGCAGATTTTGCTTTGCAGAAAAAAATCCTGACCTGCTGCCAACTTATAGCCCTCAAACATTATTCGAATGGACTCAAAATATAACCTATTTGAAAAAGGTTAATTCTAGTAATTTTCTCTCCCGAGTTGTTGTTTTGTTTCTTAATTTATTTCGTATTCCTTATTACCGGAATTTAACGAAAACTGTATTACCAAAATGAAAATATTAGCAACCGTTAAGTGCAAAAGCTTCTGGTGATAGATGAAAGTTACTTCCACCACTCAAACAGTAAAAAAAAAAAAAAAAAAATACACCGAGGGGTGACTGGGTGGCTTAGTCGGTGGACTGTCTGACTCTTGATTTCGCCTGGAGATCAGGTCATGATCTCAGGGTCCTGGGATTGCACCAAGTCAGGCTCCACACACAGCTGGGAGTCTGCTTGAGGAGTCTCCCTCTCCCTACCCTCTGCCTCTGCTCATTTTCTCTACATCTCTCTCTCTCTCAAATAAATAAATAAATCTTTTAAAAAATATATATACACAGATTAGCACAGAATCCTAAAATTGATAACCAAGGTCTCCAGTTTTGCTACTCAGGTTTTAACTGCATTTTTTTTTTAAGATTTAATTTAATTATTTGACACAGAGGGAGAGAGAGCAAGCACAAGCCGGGTGAGCGGCAGGCAGAAGGAGAGGGAGAAGCAGGCTCCCTGCCAAGCAAGGAGCCTGATGCGGGGCTCGATCCCAGGACTCTGGAAGCATGACCTGAGCTGAAGGCAGACGCTTAACCGACTGAGCCACCCAGGCACCCCAGGTTTTAACTGCTTTTAATTAAAAACCTTCTCTGGAGTTACTTATAAATTGAATCAAGCTTTTATAGGAACCCAGACTGGAAGAGTTCTCAGACACTTATTTCAAAATCTCTTTCTCCACTGGCTGGCTAATCCTGAAGGAGGAACAAGAGACAATACCATCTGAGACCTAAGAGGAGAGGAGAATCATGAACAAAAGAAAATCCTGTAAACTTCTTCTCCCTCCCCACTGACACAAATATTATTTTGTCTTAGGTCAAGGGGGTGGAGAGTCAGGGAATGATGGCTTTCGTTATACTTCCTTCTCTCTCCTTCCAATTGCAGTTTTATCCAAACCAACAGGCTAGCGAGTGTTGCTTTTGGCATGTGCCTAATGCCAAAATGCCCTAAAAGTTATTGAGCCCCAGACTGCTTTCCTCCATCTTTAACATAAACAATGTGTACATACAATCACGTGTATATATAATCATGAATAAAATTAAAGTGTATTTAATAGAGGTACCGTGTGATATTCCACTTCCCACTGACCCACACAGTGAGGTCTAACAGCGTTGAAGTTGAACGCCGCATATTGCTTACAGCTCAGTGCCTGAATCAGATGAGAAGTCCTTTGAGGGCACAGACTTAAGCAATCTGGAGAGGAATCCTCCCCAAAGATTCCAAAAAAGAACCAGACAAACGAGAGGCATTGGCTAAATATATTTTTATACATTCTTTCTTTTGCTTAACAAAAATATCTCAATGCATAGTCCGTATTTTTAAGAATTTTTACACACTGGTTGTTTCCATCAAGACAATGCTTTCAAAAGTGCCAAATCCCAAATGAGAAAGCAATTCATAATGCACCAACGTTACGTCCTATCGTGGTTCTCAACCAGGCTACTCCCTGGGACATTTAAATCCGAAATTTTTTTTTTTTTTTTTTTAAATCCGAAATTTTTTGAAGCTGGACCCAAGTTCTAAAGTTCTCAGGTGATTCCAATGGGCAACAAGGGCTGAGAAACATTATCCAAAATATGCTCAGTGACGAAGCCAAGAGTCCCACCTTTGATCTGCTTCTGACACTGCACAGAAACACAGGTCTCTGCGGAGCCTTCTGGGTCGGTGCTAACATCTTCGTCATCGATGTTGATCTCCTCGGTGATTACATCTGGTCCCAGTTTGGCCATGTACAACATGCTGATTCTTTTCAATGTTTTATTTTCTTTATTTAGCTAAGGCAAAATATAAAAACAGTTATTTTAACAGCAGTCAAATGAGTGTCTTGGATTTTTAAACAATAGACAGATTAAGTGTACTTCTGTCTTACATATTCATCAACACCCACAGCATGAACTAACAATTAGAAGATTCATGAAGTAAGGTTTTATTTATACTTTTTAGCATTAAACTTATTAAAGTAAGACCTGATGCCTGGATTACAGCCAGCAGCATGGGAAAATGCTAGTTATAACTGATAACAAAGGAAGAATTAAGATAAGACACCAATACAGATTAAATCAAATTTCAACTTATTCCATCCTTAATAGTCTTAATTAAGATTTTATTTTAAGAAAATGTTTTCTTTGCTGCTGTGCACACCCTTTAAATGTTTGCTAGCTCAGGGGCGCCTGGGTGGCTCAGTTGTTGAGTGTCTGCCTTCGGCTCAGGTCATGATCCCAGGGTCCTGAGATCGAGCCCCGCATCAGGCTCCCTGCTCCGTGGGAAGCCTGCTTCTCCCTCTCCCTCTGCCTGCCACTCTGCCTACTTATGCTCTCTCTCTCTGTCAAATAAATAAATAAAATCTTAAAAAAAAAAAAAAAGCAACTTTTTTTCCTTTACTAAGGGCCAATGGCCAGCAAGACAAGTTCTGAATTACATAACTGACACTGGAAATAAATAGAAACAGAAACCTAATTCATTGGAAAGCTAACTACCTTCTCTACTATAAACCTTACATCAGAGTAAGACATGCTGGTAACTTGTCCGACTTTGGTCCTTCATTTGTGATCATAAGTAGGACCCTTTAGGGTTTCCCTCAGGGAAAAGCCCAGGCCATTTCAAACTGGGAGATCTGATTCTCACCCCAATAACACTGAATCTAACTATATCTCAAGTAGCCCAATCTGGAGCACAAGTGGTTTCCCTGACCTCTCTGCGGAATCAGGAAGATTCTATTAGAAATGGCTATAAACCCTTCCTCAGATTCCCCCTGGGAAGCCTATAAGCTCTACTCAGGGAATCCAACACAGCCCCTTTCTTCCCTGTCTCCAGCGCACAGCTCCAGCTTCTAGCTCCCCACAGTACGTTAGAGGATCAGGGATAAGAGATGAGCCCATGATCTCCAAGCCCCTCTCCCTTAAGACGAAACATTCATGTAAAGCCTGTTGTGGGTTCTTGGCACCATGTATGCTACAGTGGGGCACCAGAGGCTCAAGGATCCTGGCTGATAAGATGCCATCTTTTCTGAATGGCAGGAGAAAATCACAACTGAAGGAAAAAGTGAAAACACTCAAGCCTTCATTTGTAATTCTGTTTCCTAATACTTAAACTAATGGTTTCCAGCTTAGCACATTAGAATCTGTAGAGTGCTTTTAAAAAATCCCAGTGCACAGGCTCTCACCAGACCCAAATCTCTGGCAGTGGAACCCAGCAGAGTACTCTCTCCAAGGTCCCAGGTGATTCTAATGCACATCAATATGAAGAATCTTTGATATAGAGAAAGGCAGTGTTTCCATACCCATTTCTATAAAGTCAGAGTTAAGAATCCTGCTCTATAATCCAACATCTCTGCCTCTAGAATAATCTCATCTTTCAGAGTGGTAGTCTCTTCATCAGCGAACTAAGGATAAAAATAGCCTCTGCCCCATAACATGAGGATTGAGTGAGATATTACACAGAAAGTATTTAACATTAGTGACGGACATGCAGGAAAAATTCAGTATCCACTCCTAATAGTAACAAAAGAGGTTCAGGTTGTGCGTTTCGGAATACTTTATCAGCTAGTTTTCTTCCATCAAGATACACATCCATGCAACTTTTTCTTCCTCCAGGATATTCACAAAAGCACAAAAATACTAATTTTTGCCATCTGGTGCTTAATAGGCTCATCCCTGGGCCACTGTCACAATAATACTTAATAACTTGTTCATTAACAGTTCTAACCTCAAAAGAGTTTAATGCCTCTTTCTATCAAGCCAGGCACCAAAATCCACCAGCACTATCTGGCTATAATACACCTACTCTCATTAACAAAGTTACTAACTCAAGAAAAAAGCTACACATGGAGTGCCCGCCAGGCGGTAGAGTATGCAACTCTTGATCTCAGGGTCATGAGTTCAAGCCCCACATTGGGTGAGGAGCCTACTCTTCAAGAAAAAAAAAAGCCACACAGAAGAAATTCCTCTGAAACATCATTCTCACATTTTGAAGGAAGAAACATAAGATTTATGTACATAAAGATCTCATAACCATACTAACTGGGTATTTTTAAAAACTCTGAATTCACAAATTTTGGCTAAGCAATTTCATTGAAGTTATTATTCATCAAGTTATATATGTTAATGGCATGCTAACTGTTTTTTGGAACCATTCTAAGTCACAAAGCAAAAATAAATCTTTTATAACCCTACAGTAACAGAATCTTCTACTACATTCAAATTTAAACAGTTTTTATATTGGGTGCAGCTTAATGAATATTTAAAGATACAAAATAAGCAAGTTAAGCAGATCTGAACCATATGGTTTAAATAACTGGTCTACATTTATCAGTTTAACCTACACATTTTAGCAAAGAAGCCACCCTTGCTCTTAAGAAAATTATGCAAATTGCATCTTAAGAATTAAACCTTCCATTTGTCATTAATCTGAGAGCAAAGATTTAGAAAAATAAGAATAAATTTATAGAAACTTTGCTGCTTTAAAAATGGAGTCTACTGGGCGCCTGGGTGGCTCAGTTGGTTGGGCGACTGCCTTCAGCTCAGGTCATGATCCTGGAGTCCCGGGATCGAGTCCCGCATTGGGCTCCCTGCTCGGCAGGGAGTCTGCTTCTCCCTCCGACCCTCCTGTCTCTCATTCTCTCTCTCTCAAATAAATAAATAAAATCTTAAAAAAAAAAAAAAAAAGGAGTCTACTTTCAAAAATGATAATTGGGATACCTAAATCAGGTTGTGCTACTTTATTGATCATGCATATAATGGAGCTTCCAAACTTTGCATTCAAAGCTGTAGTATCTTCCAAGTCCAATGAGCACAACTATAGGCTTTCTGACCTGTTTTTATTCCAAGTCCCACGAGGTCACATTGTATCCTCAAAAATCAACCATACGGCCATTTTCGAAAGACTTCATGAACAGAAGACAAACCGTGTAAGGGAAGGATCCTATTGTCAAGACTAAATTATAAAACTGACCTTTGAGATTAGTAACACAGTGGTTCATAACCAGGGATGAAGACAACAGTCCCCTGGCAGCTTTCTCAGCACACAGCCGGCCTGGGCCGCACTCCCAGTGTCAGTGGGTCTAGGATATTCTTAAGTAATCAATGCTGGTCCACCCTGACACTTAGGACAAGGCAACTGTAGCTCAGAGAGGTGCATTCTCTTGCTCCAAGTCACCTGTTAGCTAAAAAAAGGAAGGGGCGGGGATGAAATCTTTTTTTTAAAGGGGACTGTACAGACCCATGAGTGGAGTGCATCATGGAAAAAGGAAAAGTCTGTCCCATTCTCCCTGCGGTCCTAACGCTAGTCCATCCTGACCTTTGAGTTGAGACTACAGCAGTCCGGAGACCAGAACTAATAACTTGCCCAAAGTCACATATACCCAAAATGACATCACTGGGAATAAAACCTGTATATACTGCCTCCCAAACTGTTGCTTTCCATTAACTCTGCCAGCCCTGCAAGGTAATCCGTGTTCTCATTTTGCATGTACTATTGGCAACAAGGATACTTATCGATAGCAAGAGAAAATACAAGGACTGGACTTAGCCACTGCAAGAGTCAGAGCAGCTAGTATGCTCCAAAGATATCTTTTTCTACCTGTTGCAAAAGAAAGAATAAAGGATACGAAAAGAGAATTCACCCAGTTCTGTGAACCAGTGAACACTTAATGAAGGGTAGCGCAGAAGAAATGATGGGAAAGCACCCACGCAATCACTGTTTTTAAAGCAATGGTCTGGATTGCTGTGTATTCTTCAAATGAATAACAGGAGTTGCATGCACACGTTTATATTCTTAGGTTCTGACTGCATTATCTTATGAATTCTAATGTAGTGTCATTACACAAACAATTAAGCAAATACCTCTAGCAAGCACACTGCTAATGCATCCAAATTAAATAGAGAGAGATATAGACAGATTGGCTGATTGATTTGCAGACTTTCAGTCACATCCAAAGACATACTTTGGAGGGAGGTGATGGGGAAGAGAGAAAGACACACAACCGGCATTACTAATGATATTTGGTTAAAAATTGCTGTAATCCATTTTCTGATGAAGTGGTTCAGGTGCATTTTACCCAACCCAAAATACGTAAGACAGAGATTCTTTAATAACAATGTACTTCTGATGAGACAGAATATAGAAAATTACACTCTTGGTAAATTCATCAGCGAGAAGCAATCAGTGAAGCACTGGAGGTCACCTTCAGCATGCCCTCACTCTGCTTTCACAAATAATCACCTGAAATGTACGGCTGGAGGCTGACTTTTTCATCTAAATCAAACATGAAACACTCACTGCACCCCTTCATGTTACACCAGGTTTGTTTTAAACTGTTCACCCAATGCACAGACACTTAGAAAGTCCAGCTGAACGAACGACTCTGGGGCCATTTTTCAGAGGCAAAAAGCACCGATGTTGAAATGCACACATACAAATGCCCCCTTTACAATGGAAAGAACCTAGGCATTAAGATATTTACAAAATCCTATTCTAGGACTCCGAGAATTTACAGCACTTTAGACACTTTCCCTCCTCATCAGAGCAGAGGCAATGGATTAGAAAAGCAAAAGCAGATAGGAGGCCACTCTTCACAAAAGCAAGTTGAAATTTTTTTAAAAAGCGCAGGTAGAGTTCCCTTATTTGAAGAGTCTCACCTTTGTCGCCAGAGCTTCGGCACTCTCTCGACAAGTCTTCTCTATTTCAAGATGGTTCTGCATAAAATTGACTTCCTCTATAACCATGTGAGAAACTAGGAATGAGGGGAAAAAAGTCTCAGCATTCAGAGATTAGTCAGCGATTCCAGAAGCCCACACATTGTGTCCCATGACTCAGAATACTTCACTTCTTTAGCTCGCCAGACCTTTAGCTAGCATGGAGGGGGGAAAAAAAAAAAGTCGTGGAAGATGCTGCCCTGATTGAGTCTTAGCCAATATGTGGACGTGGAGGGGGAGAAAAAAGAATGCAGTGAAGAGCCTTCACTGCCAATGCACACATTTTTCAGAAAGCTAGTTAGGATGCTTTTAAGTGTCGCTTTTCTATGCAGCTGTTCACGGAGACAGACACGTCCACTAACTTAGACGGAAGAATCTCTCCTAAATAAAAAGTGGCAAACGTGAGTTCCTTTTCTTAGCGGGACAGAACACATGGATCTAATAAGGAAAATGAGCGAGTGAGAAATTTTTAAAATTAAATCTCAACTCGATCTCCTTAACCAGAATAACAATGTGGCAGTTTAGCTCAGGTCAGTATACAACAGCCTTCCTTATGAGTGCTAAAGTAGTTACTGTGATTTAATAAACTCCAGGGCAGAAAAGTATAGCAACGAGAGTTATGGACTCTATGACAATGAAAGCGGATGCTTCTTGCATCACAGACTGTCAGGAAGATTGGAAGAAAAATACAATTTTCCTGGACACTTTACCAATGCTTGAAAAATAGTAATTTTCAGGTTCTTTTAGTAGCTGGTTTATACAAATTGAGATTCAAAGGTACAAAGTAATTTAGAACCTGAATTATACTTCGAAGATCAAGGGAGAGCCAAGTGCCAATTCCTTTCACCCACATTTCTAGTTAAAGGAAAATGCTCGGAATCTTAAACTTCACTATAGACGTGTATGCTTATTGACATTTGTTTGGCTTAAAAAAGAAAAATGAAGTACACCCAAGTGTGAAACCCCACAAAGTTAGGCAAAAAGCACTGGGCTCACGTAACACAAAGAGAGATTACTTTTGCTTCATTTAAGCTTAATTAACCTGCAATTATGATTAAACTCGGGGGAAAGAAATTTCCCTCCAAATTAAATACAAAAACGTATTACTTCCTAAGTCTGTCCAAAGTTCTTATTATGTTAATATTCAAATTCATAAAGCAGCACTCAATGGCCAGAAACATCTCTAACCTTGACATTTTTTCAGGGGTAATAATAATCTGCAGCAAATGCAGGCCAACCAAAAACCACTTAACTAATTAGTAGTTGCAGTCACCGAGAAAAACATGAATCAACACTGTTATTACAAGTGGCACATTTGAGTGGCATCTAATTATGACTTGATGAGCACGATACTTGCATTATCAACATTACTACTGCATCCCATCAGGGCCTAAAAGCTGCTGATGGCATTGACTTCGAGAAACTCCCACTCAATGGTACAGCAGCACCCAATAATCGGCTTGGCAGGGGCCCCCCTCACTAAATGACACGTTAAGCGTAATTACTGGTAGACATGGTAAATAAACAGGATTGGAAGTGAAAATTGTACCAAGTGCATAAGACACAATCTGACACATTGGAAGTGGCAGCCTTAATTGAGAGTTTCTTTGACTGCTCAAGATCATTTCAACTGCATTTCTCCGAGGACAGTGATTATAACTGTGGAGACAGACGGCATAATGGTATCAGCAACGCTGACAGAGCTGTGAATTAAATTGTATCTGCTGTTGTGTGAGCCTTGATGAGAGGTACAGATGCCTTAGTGGTCTTATCATTATAACACAATGGTCATGTTGTCATCAACCTTTCTGGCTCCAATTGAAAAGAAATGATTGTGTGTGGAGGCTCTGCCCACCCCCCCTCCACGCCACCCCCCTCTCCTCTTCTATCTCTTGTTCTGAATAGAACCAATTTTCAGAGAGCTATGAAATCACGCAATAGGTCCTAAAATGCAGCTGCTTGGCATACAAACGGGTCCCCATTAAACTGGAATCACACACAATATGTGTTTATGCCAGAAGAACAAATAGAAGCTGAACACAGGCCAAGTTTATTCACACACACAAAGCCCATGTAGCTCTTCATCAATATAATTGCCTTTTATATTGTAGTTTAAATAATAGGCTCTATTATTTCCTTAAAATCCTAATATTCTTGGCATTTTATCACTATGTTTACAAGGTAGGTTCTTCAAAAATGTGAAGGAAAGAGAAAAGAAACCTATACAATTTTTACAACATCAAATATTACTTTGAATTTTTAGCCTTAACTACTTGACTTCTTCTGCCACAATCTGGTATTTCCACCATCATAACAAAAACATAAACACTCTGCATGTTTCATAGGAATTTGACTTTTTATTCAGTAACATTCTTGCTCATGGAAGAGTAAGGAAAAATCATTCCACATAGCAAGGTTTAGGCCCAGCAAAAAGAAACACACACACACACACACACACACACACACTTATTTTCTGAACATTTTGTAAAAAGCTGCCCTGTAATTTAACTTGATAAAACTTACACAGGCAGCACTAGCCCACATTTTTCTCCAATTCTCATACAGCAGGCCCCATCTAATACGTTTTTTTTTTAATCTCTTCCTCTAAGAGGGAACAGTAGAAATCAAAAGTTGTGCTTTGATTTCTAGTTTAAAAAAATTATCTCAATGCTAAATAGGGAGCAAGGAAACCTACCTATCGACTTTCTAGATTTAAAAGAAAATAACATGTTTCAGAGGGCATTTATATCTTTAAAAAGCACGACCCCATTGCTAAAACCACAAGTCAGGTTACATGACACAAAACAGAAATTTTTGTAACATATAATTTTATTTGCACCTTTCAAAGGATGAAAGTTTTTTTAAAAAAACTTTAATTTGTTCATTTAGTGACTGGTCCTATGGTGCTGAATTCAGGCTTATCTCATAATATCCATAGATCATGAGTGATAACTACACCTAAAATACCTGTAATTTGGAGGACATGGAGGCTTAAAACAGAAGAAAGATGAATCCTAGTCTTTTACAAACACATATTGAAATATTTATATTCATTTATGATGAAATTATCATTAAATGATATGATGACTGGCATTTCCAAATAGTCTGAGGTCAGTGAGAATGATGTATGGACAGAGATGAAAGTGGACTGGCCAGGAGTTGGTAACTGTTGAAGCTGAATGATGGATACATGGGGGTTCATTGCATTATTTTCTCACTTCCGTATAATAAGCTTGATATTTTCCATAATAAGAGTTGTTTTTAATGACTCTGACAACTCAGAAGCATAACCTACAAGTACATCAATGATTGCTTCCACCAGTCTAGTTGAATCAGCAGAATTTTTTTATCCTCTTCATGACCCCAAAACACTCTTACATACTTGCCATCGTGGAATGGAGGGCAACTGGGTTTTTCTTTTTTACTTGTTTTTGTCTTTTATTAACTACAAGCATTACAGCAGAGACTCTGCTTTACTCACATCGGACTCTCTTGCACCTGGCATACTGCTAGGTATAAACTAGGAAGTCACGTCTGTGTTTGCTTGAGTGACTGGAAAAATCTATCAGGCCTAGATCTGTCTGTGAACACCCCTTTACAAGAATGTTCTCTCTAGAACGGAACTGCTTAGGACACAACCACCATCACCCACCACTGGGCCAACTGTGTGTTCAGCCTTTGCGAAACCCTTTCCACTTGTCCTGTGCTGAGTCCTCACGACAGTCTTAGGAGGTAGGTATCATCAGAGCAATTTTCTATTTGAGAACATCGAAGCCCAGAGAAGTCAAGTAGCATAATCCCAAAATACAGTTCTAACTGGTAAAGCCCAGCTAAACTAATTTCTAGGCCACTCCAATTTCCTAGGCTTCTTTCTAACTTGTATTCAAACGTGACACCACCCATGGGACTGCCCTGAGCAAAACTCCTCTCCATCCAGCCAACCCTCAGCAACGCCCAGATGCAGGATGTCTCTGCAGCATACGTGGTGGACACGCTGTACGTTCTCCTGCAACGTCAGATCACTTGAGAGGTCTTCACACAGTGTGGGAACAGTGATGCACTGGCAGGTGTGTGGGAAAACAGGTACGTCCTAACACACAGCAAAGGCTCTCACGTTCTGGCTGAAGGACATGAAAGGCCGTTAGTTACTTCTCGCACACGGATCTGTCTCCCTAGGGAACGTGGCTTTGCTCTGCAGTGGTGCTCTGTGCAGGAAGACAGGAGAAGAGGCTCAGGAAGAGCTGGCGGAGGGCAGAGAATGGCAGGGAGAAACGGATGAAACCAGCTAAGAAGAGCATGGTCAGCTAGGTGAGTAGAGCCCGCCGACCTAAGGGAGCTCTTCCCTCACTGAGATCTGGGCCTCGTAGGTGAACATGACGGGCAGGCAACGTTCAACTTAGCGCCCGAAGATACTTTCCCCCAGGGCTGTCCAAGGGCCAAGACCAGGGTCTGAAAACTCACTCGTGAACTGACTCGCAGCCTCTTCACACTGAAGGGCACCCAAGCTCGGGATGGGACAGTAAATGAGATGGTGGTGGCAGTAGCTAACATTTATTGAGCACTTAAACCATAATGCCAGGCACTGTGTTCAGCACTTTTTACATGAATTATCTCATTTATTCCTTGAACAGCCTATGAGGCAGGGTCACTTATCCCAATTTGACTAATGCAGAAATTGCTCAGGACTACGTGGGTGCACATCAAATGGTGCTTTTTACCAGTGGTAACCGCTGCAATCCCTTCCAAATCGGAAATTCTGTTCTCTGTTCGAAAGTCGTCAACGATTACCCCAGACACAATGTTTTAACAAATATTTCGAGTTTTCGTCGTCCCCATTTTCTGTTCTTTTGAGACGGAGTCAAGAGTCGGCATTCTGTTCCCCTGCCGTCCAAACTTTAAATTAATTAAGCAGACTTAGAAAAGTCAAAAATTCAATGCATACAACAATAAAGATCGTTGTACTAACCTTTCAATCGATTCTTTCAGGCTTTGAGTTGCTCGTAAGGAAAAATGTGAATTTTTGTAAAACTATCAAAGATATTTAGAGGAAGAGACAAAGGGAAAAAGGAAGTGGGAGAGGAAAGCAGTTTACATGTTACTCTAAAGGTAGGCTGATTTGGGGAGAAGCTCCTTCCATTTCTGCAGAACGCAAGAAGCAACATGCCTACTACCTGCCCGACCAGAGCATTTTATAAGTCCGACCCTAAGAACTTGAACTATTCCTACTACACACAGCATGCCAATCCACTATCAGTAATTAATTTGAGAACATGAATTGGTAACAATGTCGATGGTATAACTCAGTGTGACCCGGTGTCAGCAAAAGTGTAAGGACATCAAATTAATCCTGCATTAGAGAAGAAGAAAGTCCTACGCAATTGCAATTCATACATTCACAAATAAGAGGTATTTCTGTCATAGCGTGTTGGCCTCCAAAGAAAAGTAACATCAACAATATTCCCCTGAGGTTTTGTTACAACCAGACACTTGAAATAAACTGGCTATTGAAATGAACTATAATGCTCCATTTTCATGGCTGTTTAACTTTCAACAAGAATAAAATGTTCTGTTGTGTAGTTACCAAGTCAACACTTTACGATATAATCAAACAGCCTGATACAGCATCTGCAGAAAGATGGAGAAAGACCCTGCTTCCAAGGGGGAGGGCCATCTTTTCCTGCTAAGGTCTGGTCCTTTTCCCATGACCTATTTCCTTCTGATCCTTCTGAGTGTGATCAGATACATTCTGTCTTAGAGGATAAGGTAATGACAGATTTGCATAACACACAAAAATACCACAGCAAAAATTTAGAATATTACTACAGCTTTTGTGGGAATACAACATGCCTTGGTGAGAGGGCCATCTCAAACATTCAGACTCTTAAGAATGTGTAAGTTCTGTTAACTAGAATTCCTTTTCTATGAATTAATGTAAGAAACAAATCAGACCACTGTAAAGATGTGTAAGAATACTTGACATGGCATTACTTAGAATATCTAAAACTCAGAAATAACCCATCTATCATTGAATGTTTAAATAAATTAGGGTACTGTTGCATAATAGGATACAGGAAAAAATATACATCCCTACTAACATGCAAAGATGACCATAATATACCACTCACTGAAAAAAGCTGGCTGCAAAACCGAATGCAAAGCGTGACTTTATTTTTTGTAGACATAAATATTGCCCACACATAAAAGACCAAGACAGAAAGACTATAAAATGCTAACACTGCCTTTTCTCAAAGAGTCAAGATAACAAGCAATTTTTGTTCTCCTTTAACTGTCCTGCATAGTAAAATTTTTTTTATAACAAGTGCAAACTCTCTTTTATAATAACATACTCATGAAATAATAATGGTCATTCCATTTGTCTGAAAATCACAGTAATGTCAGGACATTTTTTGGGGGGCAAATGGGAAGACAATTCTTGCCTTCTTGGATGCCCAATGCAGCAGCAACTAAACACAGGGGACGTGTCTACACACATAATTCCCAAACACAGTTATGTGTGTTATAATAATTCCAACGAAATGCTTACATACTTTTCTGAAATTCCTCCAGTTTTTTAACAGCTTCATCTCGTTCTTGCCTAATTTTGTCACACTGAAAGGAGAAAACACAGAAATGTTAAATGTGTGTCACAAATTTGGGAAGGCAAGAAAGAGCAAACGTATAAACAGTAACAGTTTTATGAAAACAAAAATTAAAAACCTTTAAAAAGCATTAACGGTCACATGGTACTTACACTACTCAACCAGCGTGGTCTTTGTACCATCTGTATCTGGCCACTTGCCTTGGACCTTCCAAGATAATGAGTCATCTTACTGCTCATTATCTCCTCAGGAACAGACCAATTTAACATCCTTGAGTTCAAATTACTCATTCTTTAAGAGAATATACGTGCCTCTTTTTAAGTAGGTATTTTGCTAATACAGTGAACACCCCACACATCTGCAGGTCAGATTCCCTGAAACTGGGTAGCGACGAACTCTCCAGAACTCTCCAGAACACTGGTGCACAGCCAGAAGTGATACCTACTTGAAGACAAAACTGCTGCCGTGCGCCCCCTTGAAATCTTCAGTTAAGGAAAAATACCCTCATATGCTTAGAATTCCAAATAGAAGGTAGCAAATTAAAATGAGAAAATATAAAATATTCCAAATAAGCATATACCATTTACATAAACTAATTTTTAGTTTTAAAAGGTGGGAGGACTCACTGAAAACACCAGGAGGAGGTAAGACCATAAAGGCCAAAAATAACTATTAAAGCATGAGGACCTTTCAGGGTATCTGGTATAGAAACAAGTATCCATTATTTTAACAGGCCCTCAAAGTATTAATGAATTTTATAAACACCTCATGTTCATTATGAGGACTGATTCAACTTACTGTGGATTTCACAAAACAGGTTAAGTATAACACATTTTAGAAAGATTTTCATCAAAAAGGTCTAAAACTTTAAAAAGTGATTTTTTTTTTTAAGATTTTATTTATTTATTTGAGAGAGAGAGAGCATGAGAAGGGGGAAGGGTCAGAGGGAGAAGCAGACCCCCCGCTGAGCAGGGAGCCCGACGCGGGACTCGATCCCGGGACTCCAGGATCATGACCCGAGCCGAAGGCAGTTGCTTAGCCAACTGAGCCACCCAGGTGCCCTAAAAAGTGATTTTTAAGAGCAATAATTAAAATCTGAATTTTCTGGGAATACTATAATACTGTGTAACAAGAGGGTCATGTGAGCAAAACACAACTTTTTTTTTTTTTTTAAAGGTTTTATTTATTTATTTGAGAGAAAGAGTGAGCAGGCGAGAAAGCATGAGCGGGGGCAGAGGGAGAAGCAGGCTCCCTGAAGAGCAAGGAGCCCGACATGGGGCTCGATCCTGGGATTCCAGGATCATGACCTGAGCAAAAGGCAGATGCTTAACCGACTTAGCCATCCAGGCGCCTCAGTAAAACAAAACCTTAAATTATATTTTAATCCTACTGTGCCAGATAAATATATTGGGATTTCATGCCTTTGGATATTTATTTCAAATTTCAATGGCTAAAAAATTATGATGCCACTGATAATTTGGAAAACCCAAATTAAGACAGTGAGATAGTCTCACTGAATAGACTGGCAAAAACTAAAAAAATGTGCTATCAGGAATTGAAAACTCATATACTGCTGGTGGGAGTGTCCAGAAACATAACTAGTTTGGAAACAAACTATCAAAATTGAAAATGCATACGCCCTATGACTCAGCAATACCACTTCTATTTTTTTTTTTTTGAATTTTTATTTTTAAGTAATCTCTATACCCAGCGTGGGACTCAAACTCACCACCCCCGAGATCAAGGGTCACCTGCTCTTCTGACTGAGCCAGCCGGGCACCCCTGCAATCCCACTTCTAGATTCTATTACTGGAATCTCTAGTAATGTTCTACATACACATTCAGCATAAATCATGGTATATTCCTGTAACACGTTAGAGAACAGTGAATGAATGAACATAAGCTGTATGTGTCAACCTCTACCTCAAAAGCCATAATGGTGAATAAAAGGAGTTGGAGAATCCATGTTAATATATACCTTAAGCCAATAAAATCACTTTAGAGACTTAGACTATAAATGTATATTTCATGATACATACGGCATATATAGAAATATAAAAAGACAAAATAGAAGGATACATACAAAATTTATCACATTAGTTAGCTCTTAAAATACAGGGAAGGGGACCAGGGCTGGGTGTCACAGAGGATCTTCAATTATATCTGTAGCATTTTTTTAAGTTTAAAAAAAAAATAAAAGTTAATTCTTTTTTTTTAAGATTTTATTTATTTATTTGAGAAAGAGGGAGAGAGCGCACGAGAGTGGGGTGAGGGGGAGAGGGAGAAAGAATCTCAAGCAGACCCCCTGCTGAGCGCGGAGCCTGACGTGGGGCTCCATCTCAGGACCCTGAGATCATGACCTGAGCCGAAACCAAGACTCAGACGCTTAACTGACTGAGCCACCCAGCCACCCCAAAATAACAGTTAATTCTGTGGGTTACACATTTGTTGTTATTCTCTGCCCTTCTCTGTGCTTTAAAATATCTTTTTTAATTTAAAAAAATTAAGTCAACAGTCCGGTCTTCCCCTTTAATGTCTCAAGAACTGAAACCTGGAAAGTCTGTATCTTCATTCATTTGGGTAAATCCGTTCTGGCAAGAGTACACAAAACAAGTCCTAATTCTAAATTAGCAAGGCTGTTTACCAAACCCTGACTTAGGAGGGGTCAGGCTGGGCCATTTCCTTAAGGAGGATGCATATTCTTTCATTAAGGTTTTCTTGACGGATCTCTCCTCTGTAAAAAAAAGTAATGCTGTCTAATATAGTTTCTACTTCCAACTTAACAAATAAACTGCCTTTATTAATTTCTGGTGTTTAAAATTCTAAACACTAGAGTTCTGGATTCTCGAACAAGCTTTCTGAGATCCTTCCCCCACCAGACAGAGACTGCTGGCCGGCTGTTTCAGGAATGTTCTTCTTGTCTTCTAGAATGTGGCTTGTCTATGCGGTGCTTCCCCACCCCCTTGCCAGTCTGCACACCCACCTCCAACAATGCACAGTTTAGTCTAAAGCACAAAAGAAACAATTTCTGACTAGACTCACTCTCCTGAGTTATGATTGCCAAATCAAATCTGCTGTTTTACTTTTTTTTTTTAAAGATTTTTATTTATTTGTCAGAGAGAGCACAAGCAGGGAGAGCAGCAGAGGGAGAGGGAGAAGCAGGCTCCCCGCTGAGCAAGGAGTCCGATGTGGGACTCGATCCCAGGACCCTGGGATCATGACCTGAGCCAAAGGCAGACGCTTAATGACTGAGCCACCCAGGTGTCCCTCTGCTGTTTTACTTTCAAATTAACTTCATGTTTCTTCATCTGGCATTTCTGAAGGTGTAGGACGCCCTGTGAAAAACTGTCTTTACCTAAGATTTGGTGCTTGGGAGCGCTGCCCCTGACTTAATACCACTTGGATACTTCTATATACCTCTCAAAGCTCCACCTGAATTGTTACTTAAATCAAAAGTCAGAGTTTTCACTGACACTTTGCATGACAAGAGCATTAAACTGGATGGCACTCTACCTACTCAGATCTGAAAAAGCCCACCGACTGACATCACACAAGATCCTCCCATGCAGTTCCCGAGTACTGGTCATGAACAACACATGGCAATTTTACGGAGGCTTACACCAGCTTCCGAGAAGGAAAGTATTATGCCCCTGCTCTCTGCTCCTAAGGCCCAGGTGGACGGGCTTTCATTAATAACAGGTCTCAACAACACGGTCCTATTCCATCATGCCAGTAGCCAGTTTCCATCATCCAGCCGTATGTTTTTACAGGAACCCTACAGACATCACCAGAGAATTCAGAGGCTGTCACCCAACCCCAGCTGTACTCTATCAGGGGTCTTCATTTTGCTTTGCTTTCTATTTTCTGCAACCACATTATGATAAAACTGGCAGCCACAGAATTTACCATCTGCTACGGATACTGAAAGGGGTGTGCGTTGGGGGGAGGGGGGACGTACACGTACGGCAAATGCAGCTGACTTATCCCCACACCAAAGCTGAACAAAATATGAAGGATGCACCCGTTTACTAAGCAGAAATCCAGGCATCCGCTTATTTCATCATTTTAGGTGAACCCAGCAAAAGAGCTCGCAACCTTTCTCTCCTTCTACCAACAGGGAAGTCAGCAAGGATTCTGGGCCTCTACGGGAGACGGTTACGTCTCTGTGTCCTGCAAAAGCCCCTCACCCATCCTGCCCCTTCTTCTACCCTGCCCAGGCAGCTGCAGCATTTGTAGAAACGGCCTCTTTTTGTGTGAGAATTGCTCATGAAGACTTTGCAATAGCAACAGATGTGAGGGCCCACATCACTGAATTAGGATGCCCAGCGACCCTCTGGAGAGCTTGTGGCCGGGGCAGAACCCGGCAGCTTGAGCGTGGCTACTTTCCACAAGCCGGATAACATGAGGTCTCTTCTAGAGTCGAGGGTGGCTCATTATGAAGTGGTGCACTGACCAGCGGCTGGCCTTGCCGGTTTCGAATAGGAGAGACCCTGGTCTCAAAATGAGAAGCCCTGGCCATGTTCCATATCTGTTCTGTGAGCCTCATCCAGGCAGATACCTGGCTTCCAAGACTCAGCCGGCATTTCAAAGCACTGACAGAATGACTGGCAGAGGTAAGTGCCTCCAGTGGGAACTGGCAGCATTGAACTTCCCCCCCTCCCCGAAATGGGCAGCTCCCTTCCTTCTCCCCCACACATCAACTACCGTTTAGACCAAAGTGTCTGCCTCACAGGCTCAGCAGAGAGCCAGAGAAGTTGTAGATACTAAGACGTCTTTATATGCTGCCGTGCGTATAGTTAATGCAAGGAAAACCCCAATATTCTGAATCGTGTCTAGCCTCCACTAACATAAACATTCACTTTGATCTCCAAGGTGCACGAATGCGGCGGAGGGCTGCCAACCTACAGAAAGGCCTGTTTGGGGCCCAAGAAGGGCGCGCGCGCACACACACACACACACACACACACACACACCCCACCGACAAAGTAGACAATGTACACAAGGCAAGGG